GCTCCAGGGCAATAACACATTAGATTTGATGTGTTTCTTGGGTTCTTGTTTGGTTTTGGTTAATGCCCAGAAGGGACTCTATGTTTAACCCTTGCTGAACCCTCAACCACATCCTTGCACTGCAGCTGAGGGGCAGCCCGTGCCTGGCGAGGCATCGCACGGGGTTCGCGCTCTCACTCCGATGGGTTTAGGGTTTAGGGTTTAGGGTTTAGGGTTTAGGGTTTAGGGTCTGGGGTCTAGGGTTTAGGGTTTAGGGTTTAGGGATTGGGTAGCCCCTTTCTTTTCCGAGATTTGCCCAGAGAACCTGAATAAGCAGGGTCCGAGACGCTGTGCTCCCTTCCAAGAGCCTCCCCCTCTTAGATAAGAGAGAAGAAAATAAGTAAACTATAAACAGAAAGAGTATACATATATGTATATGTATATATGTGTATGTATATATGTATATGTATATATGTATAGGTATATATATATATACATATATGTGTGTATATATGTATATACGTATATACGTATATACGTATATATGTATATATGTATATATGTATATATGTATATACGTATATATGTATATATGTATATATGTATATATGTATATATGTATACATGTATATGTGAATATACGCGTACTTAAGCGCTTGTTTTCGTTACAGCGATGGTGTTTCGCGGATTTCGAACAAGCCCAGAAAGCGATCTTACAGCTCTGGTTGAGGGGTTTAAGGAAACCTGCAGCGCAGAGCAAGCAGCAGCAACAGCAGCAGCGTCATGATGGTTGACTGGCAGATGTAATCTCAGGTCCTCATTGAGATGCGAGTGAGTCTACTTCGGGCTGCGACAGTTTGTTTGAGTCTACATCTCAGTTATATCTCTCTGCCACCGGGTCTGTGAGGGATACTTGTATTGAGCGCATGCTTCAAATGAGCAGAACATGTTGAGTGGTGTAGTCTGAGCTCAGCAGCACTTGTGGCAGGGAGCGTGGTCAACCACCCTTCTTAGGATGCCGACTAGGGACCTGAATAAGAGATCCTATGCATGTATCAGGGGACACTAGACTTGAAGCAGAATCACTGTGCTTAGGAGATGGGAACCCATGGTCCCAAAACGAAAACCTGAAACGCTTCATCACTCAACCTTTCAGGCCGCTCACAACCCAAAACCCTAAAACCCAAACCCTAAAAGCCACAAACCCTAGACCCTAAACCCTAAACCCTAAACCCTAAACCCTAAACCCTAAACCCTAAACCCTAAACCCTAAACCCTAAACCCTAAACCCTAAACACCCACAAGCCTTAGACCCTGTTGCCTGCTTAACAGCTTCGACCGTCTGTGCCCGGGTCGTGACGGTCTTCTTCGTGCTGGAAACACCGACGCCGGCCTGTGATTGGGTTTAGGGTTCAGGGTTCAGGGTTCAGGGTTCAGGGTTCAGGGTTCAGGGTTCAGGGTTCAGGACTCAGGGTTCAGGACTCAGGGTTCAGGGTGTAGGGCTTCGGTTTTAGGGCTTCGGGTTTTTCGAGTTTTCGGGCCTTGGGGTGTTTGGGTTTAGGGGTTTTGGGGGGAGTGAGGGCTTAGGGTTTAGGGTTTAGGGTTCAGGGCTTAGGGTTTAGCATTTTTCGAGTTTTCGGGCTTTAGGGCGTTCGGGTTTCAGGGACTTGGGAGAGTGAGGGCTTAGGGTCCAGGGTTTAGGGTTTAGGGTTTAGGGTTTAGGGTTTAGGGTTTAGGGTTTAGGGTTTAGGGTTTAGGGTTTAGGGTTTAGGGTTTAGGGTTTAGGGTTTAGGGTTTAGGGTTTAGGGCTATTAAAGGTCTAGGGTTGGTGGATCGAGGGCTTCTCCGAGGGTTGAGGGACTGGGTTCTGGGTTGAGGCTCTAGAGAGGGCCGAGGGCTCAAGGATTCAGGGGTTGAGGGGTTTAGGGTTTACGGTTTAGGGTCTAGGGTTTAGGGTTTGGGGTTTAGGGTTAAACCCTAAACCCCAAACCCCAAACCCCAAACCCTAAACCCTAACCCCCAAACCCCAAACCCTAAACTACCCAGGAACCTGTTCGAGCGGATGGAGGGTTTCAGGGCTTATCGGGCTTGGACCCGTGGGCGGCTTTCAGTTTGCGGCCTCGACCCGCATACTACAGGGGTCGGAATAATTACGAATGGTATTCCCTTAGGGCCCCTTTACAGCGATACCAAAAACAACCCCCGAAACCCTATTCTAATTCCTAAGGATACCAAAATGACCCCCGAAACCCCATTCTGATTATTTTTGCCCCGAAATGAAGTAGGGTTTCTATTTCTTGTAACCCTACTTCATATAATGCGGCTTTGGCAGAGGCTTATGCTGGCCGGGGGTATCCAGCCAGCTCGCGCTGCGAGTGCAAATCGCAAACCCCCAAAGCCTAAAAACAGCCCTTACGAAGACCGAAACCCCTAAACCCTCATCCCCTAAACCCTAAACCCTAAACCCTAAACTCACTAAACCCTAGACTCCCTAAACCCTAAACTCCCTGAGCCCCTAAACCCTAAACCCCCCAAACCCCCAAAACCCTAAACTCCCTGAACCCCTAAAACCCAATCTCCCTGAACCCTAAACCCTAAACCCTAAACCCTAAACCCTAAACCCTAAACCCCCCCCGGTGGGCCGCAGGCCTTGGTGTCCACAGTCCCAACGGAGCTGAGAGCACTCGTCAGGCCGGCGCTGCTGCTCTTGACCTCCAAAGTTGGTTTGCCTTTAAGTTTAAGGGTTTAGGGTTTAGGGTTTAGGGTTTAGGGTTTCGGGTTTAGGGTTTAGGGTTTAGGGCTTAAGGGATGCTAGGACTATCCAGAGGTCAAAGCAAGGTCGTCTTACAAATCCCTCGCAGCCTTGACACCTACATCTAAGTTTAAGGGTCTCCAGATGGTTTAGGGTTTAGGGAGTTAGGGAGGGTTTAGGGTTGGGATGTTCCCCCTTATGCCAGCTGTCCTTAAGAGGGATTATAATCGGGGTACTATGATCCCGATTGAGGTCAGCTAGTTGAACTCTTGACCTTCAAAGTTTTTGGCCTTTCAGGATGAGGTTTCGGGTTTAGGGGTTTAGGGGTTCAGGGGTTTTAGGGGTTTTCGGGTTTCTTTAGCGAGTTTAGGGCTTAGGGGTTTAGGGAGTTTAGTCAGTGTAGGGAGCTTCGGGCTTAAGCCCTGAAGCACTGACGCCTGAAGCAGGAAGCCAGAATGCATGAAGCCCTGAGCGCGAAACCTACCAGCAAACCCTGAACCATAAAATCTTGCTGAAACCTTAGTGTACCGCATTCAGCCCTCTCATTAAACCTGAAAGCCTAAACCCGGGCAGGCCCTAAACCCTGAGACCTGATTTTAGCCCCAAAGCCCCGAAGCCAAGCCAAAGAAGAAATGGCTCTGGGGTTCAGGGCTTCGGGTAGATTAATCAGGAACCTAAGCCCTAAACCCTAAACCCTAAACCCTAAACCCTAAACCCTCAGCCCGAATGTTCGGGACCTGCGTCTTCAGCATCTCTGCCACGCTCGAGGGCGCCACCTGGGTGGCTCCTGGAGTTCAGAATATTCGGGTTTAGGGTTTAGGGTTTAGGGTTCCCGTCTCCCCCTCTCTCTCCCCCCTCTCTGCCCCCTCTCTCTCCCCCCTCTCTCTCCCCCCTCTCTTTCCCCCCTCTCTCTCCCCCCTCTCTCTCCCCCTCTCTCCCCCCTCTCTCTCCCCCCTCTCTCTCCCCCTCTCTCCCCCCTCTCTCTCCCCCCTCTCTCTCCCCCTCTCTCCCCCTCGCTCCTCCTCTCCTCCTCTCCCCCTCGCTCCTCTCCCCCTGGCTCTTCTCTCCTCTCTTCTCTCCTCTCTTCTCTCTTCTCTTCTCTCTTCTCTTCTCTCTTCTCTCTTCTCTCTTCTCTCTTCTCTTCTCTCTTCTCTTCTCTCTTCTATCTTCTCTTCTCTCTTCTCTTCTCTCTTCTCTTCTCTCTTCCCTTCTCTCTTCTTCTGTCTTCTCCGCTCCTCTCACCTCCCTCCCCCCTCTCTCGCTCTCTCTCTCTCCCTCTCTCTCCTCTCTCTCTCTCTCTCTCTCTCTCTCTCTCTCTCTCTCTCTCTCTCTCAAAAGCTTCCATCGACCCCCGTCACTCCAAAAACCGTGAGCCCTAAACCCTAAACCCCATGAAACCGAACCTCCTCCCCCCCCCCCCCCCCCAAAACAAAAAAAAACTGAAGCGGCTGCAGCCGGTCCTTTGTTCGTGATCGAAAACCTGGCCAGCTACGCGTCTGCTTAGAACTTGGGCTTTTCGGGTGTGCTTGGAGGCTCATGGTACTTGATAACCAATCGTAACTGCACTTCTAGCCCAGTTAATATAACCAGATCAGGGTAAATAACGGGCTTCTAAGTGGGTTATAAATACAACTATCATTGGTACCATGAACCTCCAAGTAGGGTTTAGGGGTTTAGTTCCAGAGCTCAACGTTCTGGATCCTAGGACCTTGCGCGAGGGATATGTGTGCTTGAAGGTCTTCGTCGGTACCTGGTGGTTCAAGGGTAGTTCGAAGCAGGTTGTGTGTGGCATGTTCAGTTGGTATTTAAACTGCAAGGAAACGGAAATGAGCCAGCTCGACTTTGTGGAATGACTTGGGAGGTCTAGCAGAAGTGGGAGCTCACGTGTTGGCTGGGGCGGCACATCTGTTCAGTCAATACGCAGTGTCCCGCAGCATTTGCCGCACATGAACCGTATGCAAAGAGGAATACAACACTGTCAGCCTGCACCCAGAGCGGTAAACAAGAGAGAGAAAGAGAAAAAGAGAGAGAGAGAGATAAAGAGAGTGTGCGAGCATGCGAGAGAGCGACCGAAACCGAGTCCTTCAAGACCGAGTGGAGCCTTCTCTTGAACGTTTTTCGTGCCCAGGTGGCACGTGCTGGAGCCACACTCATTCTGTCAGACACAGCAGTGAAGCACTTTTGCGTGGACGCGAAGGGCTCCAAGAAGCGACTCCGTGCTCGTCCCTTAAGACAGGGTAGCAAAGCGCGGGCATCCACCCCTCCCAACTCAGGCTTTGAGCGACTCCGCAAAGGTCGTGCAATCCATCAGGTTGTGCCTTTTGTGCCACTCCCTCACCTCATCGCTGAAGTAGAAGACCGTGTAGTCACTGAGGATCTCGTCACCAGCCTTGATGTCAGCAATGGACTGCACGAACCAGAGATCTCCTTTCCGATTCTCGCGTATGTTCGGGGAAGGGGAATGGTTGACGTGGCTCACGGGAAAGAGCATGAACATGAAAGACTGCCCATCCGCAGAGTACGCACTCTGTATGCCTGCGACGAAGGAGGCCACTGTAGGGCGAATCTCATCCATTTCCTCAGGCGAAGATGCGTAGTAGCTCACCAACGCATCCAAGTCAGCGGCACCTTGGATCTCAATCGCGCCCATGCTGGAGTCAGCTACGGCGGCGCTGTCGATGTACCTTGAGGACGAAGTGAACCCCAAAAGGGTTTCTGGTTCATATACCGTAATAGGGATTACGGTAGTATAGGGTATATGGCCCCTTTTTTTAGGGTTCATTTGGTCCCCAAGATACTCACTCACCGACATGAAGCGGTGGCTTCTGACCACGGTGCCTTTCGGGCAGTCCTCCAGTGCAAACCTGCCAAGGCCAGCTCCGGGAATCTTCGACTCGCGCACCTCCGTTGCAATCCTTTCGGGCAAACCCTAAACCCTAAACCCTAAACCCTAAACCCTAAACCCTAATTTAGTCCCCAAGGGTCTTGAAGGGAGAGGAGATTCCATGCACCTCCCACGGCCGCTTGCCTTTCTGGCTCGCCATGCCTATGCCCCCGGCGCAGCCCTTTCGATCTCCGGGCGCTTCCGATCTCTGAGCCGAAGAGACACAACTTGGGGTTTAGGGTTTAGGGTTTAGGGTTTAGGGTTTAGGGTTTAGGGTTTAGGGTTTAGGGTTTAGGGTTTAGGGTTTAGGGTTTAGGGGAAATCTTGGGTGCGGCTGTAGAACGCTCCCGCTGCGCGAGCGGCAATGTGAAAGAAACAACGACGGCTCTGAAACATTACAAAGCTGTCCGCTGTGTATGACCCTACCTATCACTACACAAGTAAAGGCACGTGGGGGGATCTGGCAAGAGGAGGCCTGAGCGGAACTTCTACTGGGCTGGGAGGGGTTGAGTCGGGTCAGACTCCGTGCCCCAAAGGTCTCCAAACCGTCAAAATCTAACACCCTCGACCCTGGAAATGACTTCATCCCAAACCCTGAAAACCCTGAAATCCTAAACCCTAGACAGAAGGACAGAAGCCCTTAATGTCGGCAGGTGCGCGTGACCACCGCGCCAGTGCCGGCAAGGCGACGGGACTTGGACAGCCGCCGGCTGCCCGAGGTGTGCAAGGTCAGGCTCGTCTGAATCCTCGGCTTAGGTTGTGGGGTTCTTAAGGGGGGGGGCTTCAAGGGGGGTAGGTACCTAGGGAACCTTAGGGAAGCTTAGGGAACCGTCGGGAACCTTCGGAACCTTAGGGAACCTTAGGGAACCTTAGGGAACCTTAGGGAACCTTAGGGAACCTTAGGGAACCTTAGGGAAGTTTAGGGAACCTTGGGGAACCTTAGGGAACCTTAGGGAACCTTAGGGAACCTTAGGGAACCTTAAGGAATCTTAGGGAACCTTAGGGAAGCTTAGGGAAGCTTAGGGAGCCTTAGGGAAGCTTTGGGAGTATTAGGTTCCCAAGAACCCTATAATTAGGACTTGACGGGTTTAAGGGTTGAGGGTTTAGGGGGCTTAGGGTTTACGGCTTTAAAGGCTCGAAAGGCTTTAAAGCTTTTATTCAAGGCTTTGAAGGCTTTAAAGGCTTTAAAGGGATTATACCAGGGTTTACACAAGGTCCAGGGTTTCTTCAACTGCTGCCAAAGCGCCTGAGAGCTGCACTTCGTTCGGAACCCTCTCACAAGAGAAAGGAACATCGTAACAAAGTTGTGGAAACCTTGCTGAAGGTACGCCAATATAAGGAAAAACCGTAGTTCCAATGAAAACCCGTCATTCGGCTTTGGGCGGTGGGCTTCTGGAGACTACCTGATGGCTCATGCGTGGCTGGCTGCAACAACCCCTAAACCCCAAACCCTAAACGCTAAGCGCTAAACCCTAAACCCTAAACCCTAAACCCCAAACCCAAAACCCTAAACCCTAAACCCTAAACGTAGTGGGCTTACATGTATTTGAGGTGGCACGGCTGAGCTCTCATCCGGCTCGGTCCATCATTGACCACAATGAACCCCAGCTGCCCAATCTACCCACAGCTCTACGACCAGGAGTTGGCCCCTGAACCCTAAACCCTAAACCCTAAACCCAAAACCCTATAAACCCTAAAACCCTAGACCATAGACCCTAGACCCTACTGACCCCCACACCATGAAGCCCCTGGTTGCGCAAGAACCCACACCAGGGGCACCCCCCAAAATCCTTAAAAAGGCTCCAGCTTGGAGTCGCCACACGGGTTTAGGGTTTAGGGTTTAGGGTTTAGGGTTGAGGGTTGAGGGTTGAGGGTTGAGGGTTGAGGGTTGAGGGGCCGCCCTGGGGTGGGGAGGCTTAGGGTCCACTAAGAAGACCTGCAATGAGCAAGGTGCACTACCCGTTTTCGAGATTGGGGTAGGGCGGGCTTCCCATGCCCGCAATCCATGTCTGCCATGTCTACGCCTGAAAGATCATACCTTCACTCATCACAAGGACCTCTATGGGGGTGTACGAACATATGGGGACCCCCAATATAGACCCCCAAACAGTAGGATTCCCTTGTAAAAAGGATTTCAATAAGGTACCCCCCTATTTCGGAAACCCCCCCCCGATGTCAAGGCGCATTCTGAATCAACAAATACTGGGCTCCTGCGCTGCCAAAAAGACCTAACCTGAAGCCCTGACCCCTCTTCTAAGATGCTAACGCCGAACAGGCATCCCGCCTTGGGATGCTCCCCCCTTATACTAACAGTCCTTCATCGGGATTATAATATATACCCCCCCCCCCCCTACTATAATCCCTATTAAGGGCTGCTAGTATAAGGGGGGGCACATCCGGGATTCTAGTACATACCCCCCCCGAACATAATCCCTAGTAAGGGCTGTTAGTAAGAAGGGGGGGAACATCCCAAATCCCACGCGCCTAGCCAATCTATGAGACTCAAGGCCCTCCAGCACAGTTCGTGCGACCGGGCGGCCCCTCCGGCACTTGCAACTCTGCGTTGATGCTGGCCCGGGCATTGTCCTCAGAGATTTTTGGATTCTTGTTTCTTTGGGGGGGGGGGGGGTTGGGCTCAGAGATTGGTTTACTGGGGTTTAGGTTTTTTTTGGGGGGGTTCAGGGTTTAGGGCTGCTGTGCTCTTCAGGATATGCGAAAGCTCTGTGGGCCTTTGTGGGAGGACGCCCTTAACCCCTAAAGGCCGAAATCTCAACCCATACTCTCAGACCCTATTCAAACCCTCAAAACTCTAAACCCCAAACCCATACTCCCAGACCCTAAGACCCTAAGATCCTAAGACCCTAAGACCCTAAACCCTAAACCCTAAACCCCAAACCCCTTGCAGGTGGGGCTCGGTGGAGCCCGCGGCATTCGAGCCGGTCCTTGGCGGGCCGCGGAAACAGCCCCCCGCCCTGGACCCGTGAAGGGATCTGTTGGGTCGATATATGTATATGTATATGTGTATGTATGTATGTATGTATGCATGTATGTATGTATGTATATATGTATATATGTATATGTATATATATATATACATTCCGAAGGAGCATATACTCAACACGAGCACTTCGCATCCACTCCGTATTTTCTTGTCTTCACAGCTGTGGGCAATTCCGAGTCTGAGTTCTAGTGAACAGCTCCTGACACACAGGAGGTAATTGCATTGGTAACATCCGGACCGCTTCCGGGTCCCACGGTAGCCGGGTCAGAAACGCCTGATTCCTTCAGGTGACCCTCACGCTCCCGGGACGCATGACTCTCATGCAGCCCCTGTACCTCCGAAGGATGGTACTTCCCAAGACACGGATGACTCCACGGGAGCTCGGTGTCTCAGGGTGGGCGGGTGGGAGAAAAGAAATGTTCCAGCTTGCCAGTTTGGCTCTAGCCAAGTCTTAAGCCAAAATGTAGCAAGCCGGTACATTGCATCCTCAAAATGAAACATGCACACCCAAGGCCTGCCTAACTCAATGCATGTGCACATTCCGAAGGAGCATATACTCAACACGAGCACTTCGCATCCACTCCGTATTTTCTTGTCTTCACAGCTGTGGGCAATTCCGAGTCTGAGTTCTAGTGAACAGCTCCTGACACACAGGAGGTAATTGCATTGGTAACATCCGGACCGCTTCCGGGTCCCACGGTAGCCGGGTCAGAAACGCCTGATTCCTTCAGGTGACCCTCACGCTCCCAAGGCACTCACCCCAATGCACTTCACTACAAGTACTCGAACACCCGGATAGCTGCTTCCAGCGGTAACGCCCAGAGCTGAAATGGGAAGAAAGCTAAACTAGTGGAGAAGGAGTGCGACTGATGCCATTCGTCGTCGACTCCCAGCCTGCTAATGGCGTCGCTCCAATTGGATTTGGACGGCACCCATTCCCAATATATCCAGGTTTGGAAGACAAAGAGACACAAATGTATCAACTGCGCCAGGCGGGACAAATCAGAGTTGTCGGACCTCCCACGGATGAGGGCCATCAATGCCGCAGCGTTGTCGATGTACCAGATTCCGCGCCTCATGCGAAATCTTGCAGGCCGAGCCACCAGAGCGAAAAGCACCATGCTGAGCTCCAGCTGTGCAATTTTCTTGTCGCCCGGTCCCCAAAGGGCATAAAGCTCCTCCGGACATGCCGCGACAAAACCCTCTCGGACCTGGCTCGCACCTTGCTGCCAAATCAAGAGGAAACCTCCGGTTCCGGCTTGAGGCTTCTCCTCTGCTGCGTCACTCGCAGCTATGAAGCGTTGCACTGGTGGGTTGGACACCCAAAAGCGCCTCTCAGGACGAAATTTTAGGAGTGCGCGAATAAGCTGAAACGTCTGGAGGATGTCCGGCGAGAGGTCGGATTCTTTGCTGCGCTGCCTGTCACACAGAGCAGCGAGGCCACCGCATCCGACTCGTCCATACATGCCCTGCTCCAAGAAGTTCATCAGGCCAAACATCTTCGCAGCAAGCCCGGCCTTGAGCGAAGACGCAGTCTCGGATTGCTCGATGAGGTCGGACATTTTGGTGAACAGGCGTTCTCTCGCCCAAAAGGTGACGAACCCCCTCTGCAAGGCTTCGGAAAGGTCGTGGTCCAAGCCCAAGAAGGATCCTTGAACTGCCATGGGTTGCCTCTTCTCTTCGGCAAACGGCGTTCCCAGACACTTGTTGAGCTCTCCGACTGCCCATTGTCCGCTTCCTTTGGAGGAGGACCAATCCACCATATTGAAGTCATCAAAGTAGGAAGAGGTCACTGTGAGCGCCACTCTACGTGACGCAGCTTCACTGAATCTGCTGTACCGATTGAATGACGTGACTGCAAGAGGCAGGCCGAAAAGGAGGCCGGAGTAGATCTGGAATGCCGGGGCCTGCCATTCTCGGTGCCACCACACCACCAGGCAGCACAACGCCTCCTCTTCTGACATAGGGCAATGTCTGTAAGCATCCGGCCAGTCTTCGCCTCCGGACTCAAGGGAGTCACTCTCCCTAGCCCGCTCCAGCTCACCCTGGGGCAGCCTGGCAATGACGGCCTGGGCATGCTGCGCTGGTCGCAGCGCGCTGCAGAGCACAAGCTTGTTGGATTCCCGAGACGAGGCCGACTGGCCTCCCGTGTCTGCATTGTCAATGATACGCTTCTTCCCGGAAGACTGCGTGATGACGCATCTTGGTACGAGTCGAAAGGGCTTCCCTTTGAGCTGTGCCAAAAGGGCCTGCTTTGTCAGTGGAGGGGAGCAAAAGCCAGACTCAAAATCTTTGGTTGACTGGGACAAGAGGAAATCGTCGTCCCTGGAAGGTCCAATTGACTGCAGAATTTTTGCATTGTGCGCCCGCCAGTCGCCCAGCACGTCCTCGTAGGAGATATGGTCTGCTGGCATTTGCGGGAAGATGCCATAGCATGGCGCGAAACCCACTGCCGGCATACCTGCTATGAGGGAGAAGGGGAGAGCGGTATCTGGCCATGCGAAGAGCACCACCAGGATAGCTACCAGACCCACGTCTCGCGCCGCCGTCACACGGCGAAGTGCTGGTTGCTGAAACCCTCGAAGGTGAGCATCCAAAGCTGCGCACCGTCGTTTCAGCTCCCTGAGGGCTCCCATTGCATCTTGTCGCCACTGCCGCAATCTTGTTCGCTGCGAAGCCGTGAAGTCAGCGGCAAACTGGAGGTCATTGTCCAGCACGGGAGCCTGTTCCGTAGGCATGGGTGTACGGATGCGCGCCAGCGCTTGTTGGAAGTGGCGGCAAGGCTGCCCGTTGACTGAGTGCTCCTGCCTGCTGCCCCGCCGCTCTCTGTAGGATGCGCACGGTGGAGGGACCAGTGGCCGGGCCGCAAGCACCAGCCCAGTCAAGCTCCGACACTCGGAGCCAGCGCCTGTAAAGATCGAACGGGGGGGCATTAATAAGGTCCTCGATGCAGGGAAAGGTGAACCCGGTCATCCATGCTTCCGGAAAGAGCTTGCGGACTGCGAGGACCACGTCTTCCTGGCGCATAAAGTCGGAAAAGATGGAAGATGCATCCGCCAGCGGAGCTATGGCCAGCCCCAGCGCTCTAGGGAAGCGATGGCTCCGCTTCCTTGCTCGGCCCCTGGGGTTGGTGCTCTGCTGCGGCTGTGACGTGGATCTCACAGTCGACAAGTGCTCAAAGACAAGGCCCGCCAAAGCATCCCCTTCCGAGGGGTGTTCTGCCACGGCATCGACCACCAGGACTTTCCCTATCAACTCGGTGAGGTGGTCGCTCAAGTTGTCCCTGATGTGTTGAACGTAGCGCGGCAGGAACTCGTCGAATGCGCAATCGTGACCCGCCGTGAAGGGAGGTGCCCATTTACTGCGCGCCAGCCGATGTCGGTGATGGCCCGGCCCCACGTAAATGCAGTTACGTGGGAGGGTCCCATCGGCACCAATGACTGCTTCCACGACTTTCCTCGGTGGGATCCGAGCTGCTTCTTCGGCACTAGCTGGCCCCAAACCCAAAGAGATGGCAAGCGGTGCCAGCGCCCATGACCGCAAAGATCTCGGATCCATCAGTGGCCACTCCTCACGCCGCCCCACGCAACAGGGCGTCGGCATGCGCGGCACAGCCAGCTTCGCTCGGCCCACCCGGACGGCCCACCATGACACGGAAACGGCAACTGCAAAGACAAATGGCGCTGTGTACTCCGCCTCCTCCTTGGTGGGGTACACGTATCGTCCATTCAGCAGATATGGTTGCCACTCGTCACTGGCATGCACATGGTGGCATTGGAGGGGGGGCCATGAGGATATCTCTGGGATGTTGTGACGAAGGCGCTGCCTCTTGCATCGGGCTCCTCCCCAACAACAGGCATCATAATGAGTATCCGCCCAGAGCCCTGTGCGGAAAGCTGCCACCTCTTGCTGAAGTAGCCAATGCAAGCTGTTCACCGGATTCTCTCGCATTGCCCCAGCTCCTCTCTCCGCCACCTCTTGCATGACTTGCAGCATAAAGCCACAGGCATTGTTGTCACGCTTGACGCGGTGCTGATCCGCCGGCGACAGGCCGTCCAGTCCCTCGGGTTGTCGAGTAGAGCGGAGGGGACCTGGGCCCCGGCGCCCATCATTGAACACCCTCGGCACCTCCCTCGCTCTGCTTTTGGTGGAACAGTCGAACGCCGCGGACACAAAATCGGCCTCCTTGAGCTGCTCCCTGAGGCTCTGCTGCCGAAGGGGGTGTGCCAGATCATGCGAGGAGTCCAGTTGAATATCCAACGTCAGGCAGCGCCATCCACAGAACAGGAAAGCTTTCGTGAGCGGGGCATTGGGACCAGAAAAGATGTCTGCCATCAGCGGCGATTCCGGATCCTCGGAATCCGTGCTAGACCCCGAGGAGGGGGTCGCCTCCCCCCCCTCGGGGCCCCATCAGGCCTTCACTTTCTGCTTGCAGTCCTTGGCCCCATGCTTCGTTGAACCACAGACTCGCTCGCCTCGAAGGACAATCCCGCACATGTGCCGATCAGGACACTTGGCTCCTTTGTTGCAACGTCCTTGCTGGAACTCGACGCACAGACGCTTGCCATCCTTCATGACTCTGGCCACCTTCTTGCCCGCTACCGGGGTGCCGAGCTGGAACGAGGAAAGTTTAGGCGGGCTCGGTAGCTGGGTAGTTGCCGCGGCCAGCATCTTCGGTGTGGGATTGTGGCTAGATTCTCCTGGGCCTCCGCTTTGGATGGCGATCCAGTGCGCGTCTCTGAGATTGAACACCTCACGCACGACTTGGCCGAGTGTCTTGGTGGACTCGCGGAACTTGGCCACCCAGACTGCCCTCTCCTCGGAGTCTCTCTGCTGCAGCCAGTCCAGCCGCTTGTGTGCTGGTAGCGAAACCACCGACCTCTTGGCGCGGTAGTAGTACTCCATAAGGACGTCCAGTGGCGCCTGGACAAAGATCGTGGAGTCCGCTCCAAGCGTGTGCTCCTGATTGGCCTGGGGCGCTCCCGCCACCTGATCCACCCCTGCCAACGCGTAGGCTGTCAAGAGGATGTGGAGGCGGTCGAGGTAGTTTTCCCAATCGTGCGGGATTGACTCCTCCTGCTCCGTCTCCTCCGTGAACAGGCCGTCCCCCAAGCGTCTCTTCTTGCTGGTAGTAACCAGCTGGAACTGCAAGCTCTTGACCTTCCATACGGAGAAAACGCACAGGAGGCGCTTGTTTAATTCTCGCGTCACTCGCGAGAGTGTTGCATCCGAAGGATAGAGCTCGGGGGGGAATCTGGTACGATACCTGCGCCAGAATTGCTGCTTCATGTCACGCAGGCTTGTATCATCCAAGAGATCGTCCAAGTCTGATTCGCCGACTTTGGTCCTCCCTGCGTCAGCATGCTGAAAGAAAACCTTCACTGCAGCCCAGGTGCGCCTCAAACGTGCGGTTTGCACGCCCTGGACATCGCCCAAGTTGAGTCTCTGAACCCAGACCCCTATCTCGGCTTCCGACTCGAAGAAGTACCGGAATTCCTCAAGGTTCTTGAGCTTGGCCTTGACCAGGGCCTCGAGGATTTCATCAGCAAATTCGAAATTGAGTTGCAGCGACACAAGTGTAGCACGAAAATCAGCGCCGTCTCTCGGCACTAAGTGAAAAGATGCCATGGCTAGGCCGAAACCGTGGTCACTCCACACCCCTGCACTAAGGATCGGCCGGGCCTTGGGCTGACAGCTGCGCGAAATCCTGCGAGATCGAACACAGTGTGCAATCCTGGGGGGGGGAGGTGTGAGGGCGTAAGAAAATTAAAAAGAAGACTGTCGTGGACGCATGCACTGCCTAGCTGCCCTAGCTCACAACAGCCACTCTGTTGCATGGCAGACACGGCTGGCTCACAGCCGACACCACATGCTACGCCGCCCCAGGCCCTAGCATGTGCGCCCCAGACAATCTTTTGCATGGCAACCTATGTCGGACGGGTACGCCCCACTCCCTACGACAAGCTCTGCGCTTGTCCTGGAGCCCTAAGAACAATACCGTTTCAGCACCTGCGAGGGTCACGACCGGAGCCTTATCAGAGAGTGGAATTCGTCTCTCTTAAATGCAGCATGTTATCCACCCGGTAACTCCGGGGGATTGATGTACAGCCCCTCTGCACACTCACTTTGGGTGGAACTTCGCTGCTGCCCGCTGGAGGCAGTCTTTGCAGAAGGGACGATCGTAGCCCTGGGCTTCCTCCACGGACTCAACCTCGGTCACATCCTTGAGCCTTTGGCTAGCAATGGATCCTTGGCGATGCTTGCAAAGAGGCACTCCTTGCTCCACTTCCAAGTGAATCTGGGACCGGTCCGTGAAGATGAATGCTCGAGGGGATGGCCAAACCTTGCCCGACATGCTGTTCTTTCGGGTGTAGCGGACCCACTTCGCCACCGTGCCCTGAGCCATTGCCTTGTGGATCTCGACGTCACGTAGACGGCTGACACGCCTCTGGGCTTCCTCGAAGCTGATGTTGTCCACCAAGGCCAAGAGGAGGGACTGCCCAGTGGCAGCTCGATGGCGGCCAGCCATGCAGTGGCCCAGGACACTACCTCCTGTGAAGAGGGTTTGGCGAATGACTGGCCAAGCTTCGCGCCACTGATCGTCCCGAGACGTCGAATCAGTGATGCTGATCTGGAGTTGCAGGGCACCCGGCAACGCCACGCCACCACGTGCTGCCACCGCCTGCTGCATCCAATTGAGCTGAATGTCACAGCGCGGAAAGGAAGACGCTGTGTCCTCCGTAGGCAGCCCTGCCAGCCACAGGATACCACCATTCGCTCCTTCCCAGATCTTCGTAGGCCGCTGCGCCGAATTGCCACCCACCGTAGCCAGACGATCGAAGTGCACCTCCAGATTGCTCGCCCCACTCCTCCCTCCGAGGCCAGGTGTCCGCCCCTGACTGCCCAGGGCGCTTCTCTCGAGGTCTCGTCGAACTGGGAGATGACGGCGGTGGGGTTTTGGGAGGGGTGCGCGGCCGTAGGAGTCTGCTCGGAGGCGGGCCCACAGGCTCTGCAGGAATCCGCCGCGGGGCTTCAGGCGGTGGCCTCACGGGAACTGCTGGGGATTCCACCCGCTGCCGCTTCAGTGGCGGAAGGTCGCTGGCGTCACTCGCCAGCGCGCGCCGCTGCGGCCCCTTCTTAGGATGAGGCGGCAATGCCGCAGCTTCCTCCTTGGAAGCCTTAGGTGCCCCTGCTCGTGGCCGCAGGACCACCGCGGCCACCTTGGGGCGTGTCCCCTCACGCTCAGGCGATAGAGGAGCAAGCACCGCGCGCTTCTCCCTGCATTCCTTGGCCGGATGGGAACCACCACAAACGCGACCTGACTGAACCAGGATCGCGCATCGATGCTGGCCTGCCGGGCAAGGGGAAGGACCGCTGCACCTCCCCCTCTGATATTCGACACAAAGACGTGCTCCATCACGAAGTGAAGCCGACACCCTCTTGCCGTTGATCTGCCTTGGCATCATGTACTCGACTCTGTCAGGCAACGGCAATGTACGTGGCACGTTGAAGCGGGGCTTAGTCTCCCGGAGGCGAATAGGGCTCTGCCATTCTGTATGCAGATCCCTCTGAATAGCCACTTCCATCACTGCCGCCCCGGTCGACTCCGCCTTGGCCAACTCGGCACCTGGAATCTCATCCCATGTCGCAAAGGAGGTCAGCACGCCGATGGAGCCTGCCAGCCAGTGCTTACGACGGACACTCGTCGTATACCTGGCTCCACTGTAACGCAGTGGCATAGTGATTCCCTGGGCCTTCTGCTTGGTTGTGTCTAGCCAATCTCCTAGTGCAAGTTGATCCGAAGCTGCCCATCCGGCCAAATTGGCGTATGTCGGCCCTACACGCCGAAACGAGTATGACGTTAAGCTGGTAACGTCAGCTCCCACATGTGGCGTGAAGATGTCCTGCGCCACCTTGATGGCTTGGGCCGTGGTAAAGGGTGCCCCTGCAGCATCGAATGGCAACCCGCTGTAGGTCTGTGCACCTTGGGGCAGGGCTTGCCAACTCTTCAACCAGAGACGGGCCCAAGGCCATCCAGAGCAAAAGACCGCCGGCACCGCAAAGTCGAAGCCTGCACGATTGCCGCGCTGCTTCCCTCGACTGCAGTGGAAGTGGAAGGTCGATCTGGAGAGGCGCATTGGGGATGCCCGCCGCAAGTGTTCAAACCGCAAACACCCCGTCATGCAGCACCAAAGCCCCACCAGAGCACGCCACAGAGGGTTGTTGGCCTGATACATGTCCTGCACTGCTTGCTCCAGGATAGGTACCATTGTTGGCACCAGCACCGCCGCCTGCTTGGGCTCCTTTTGGGGGTTCTGGCGGAAGTCGTAACCTCCCAACTCGAGGCCCAAGGTGCCCGTTTTGGCTAGCCACTTCAGGCCGGCCAAGGCCCGCGACTGTGCTTTGGTCCCACCAAAGAGAAAGGCGTCCACATCGACTGCTCCTGGCGGAAAGCGGCGACCTCGTTCAAACATATGGACCTGGAGTTCGCCGAAAGTGAGAAGTGCCCCCTTCAGTGTAGGCCGCTCTGTGACGAGGATCTTCCCCGTGGCCCGACGCCTCAGAGCTGCACGCCACTCCTGCTCCAACTGGGCCGTGATTTCCCCAGCCGGCTTCATGGCCCCCAATTGATACAGTGCCTCTGCTAGCTCGTCAGCGAACTCCTCCGCCAGACTGACCTGACTTTGGGCCTGGGGGGGATCTCGATGAGCACAGCTACGAAACAATCGCCCCTTGGCCGCCACTCTCTTGAGGAAGGTAGTCGGCCTCCGTGCCACCTGCGCTGCCAGGTTGCTCGAACCCACCGGCGCATCCAAGGCAGACGCCACTGCTCCAAAGAGAGAGCCTGATGCCTCAGATCGAATGGTTGCCCACTCTTCTGCAATCAGGGTTCCTCCCGTAGCGCGTGCCTCCTCATAGCTAGCGAACGCAAATGCAAAGTCAGTGTCATTCGCGTAGCCATGTTGGGTGCGCCACCGAGACGCATACTGGGTGGCATACTCGTCAAGGGCCGTGTATGCTGCTTCAGGCGCAGAGTCTGCTGCCAAGGATTCGGCTGCATAGACCCCGAGAGATCCCGGCATGGTAAGCAAGACCAGCCCTAAGCCCAATGCTTGAAGCCCAAAGCTCAGGTGGACCCTCAGACCATGAGATGCTCCCGAACAGCGAAACAAAGAACTTGAACACAGACTGCAAAATTTCCCCAGGGTCCTCGCCGAACTCGCCCAGCCTGACCACTCCGAGCGACGACCTGAGCATTTCAGTGATGCAAACAGGGTAACTCCCTGCCGCTCACAAGAAAATGGCGCTTGCGGGGTCACTCCCCGCCCATTACACATGTGCATTTGTGGGTACCGCAAAATTGGAGGTCCGCCCCGGATCCCCACACTCGACTCAAGTCTCCTCTCAGTCGCTCTCACTCCCAGAGCCACTGTCGGACAGGGGCCGTGACGCCATGGCCACCCGTGCCTGCAAGCAATCACGGCACATTGCTGACTGCAAGATCTGGTGCACGAAATCCCCTGAGCCCCCGCAGTCCACACAGACCGCAGGCATAGACCGGCCCGCGGGGTCTGCCGCCCATCGTAGCCAAAGCAGCATAGACCGATGGGCTTTGTGCACTTCATTGGCCCGTGCCTGGTTGGGCGTGGGCTCTGGGAGTAAGAGTGGATCGCGCCAGGCCCGTTGTCCCTGCTGCCAGGTTCGCCAAGCCCGAAACACATCGTCCACAGAGGGATGGTCTGCGCCGTGGAGGTCGTTGATCTCGGCCTGATAGAGCACACGCGCAAATGTAGCAGTGAGCATATCCTGCAGCTCCAAGCCCGAGCTAGCATCCCACAGCCTGTCCTCTGCAAGAACTTCTCGGCAACGATCGTAGGCGGCAAAGGCCACCGCTGGCCCCAACTCAGGCTCCTCCACGATGGCTGCACTCTTGGACCAGGGGCCAAGGAAGGGGAATTGGTAACCACCTCTGGCTCGCCCGCATCGATCACACCCAGCCTGGGTACAGACAATCCGGCGCACCGGAACCTTGGAACCCAAGAAGTCAAAGTCTGTAATCGATGGGGAGGGTGCCGGTAGGTGTGTAATCTCAGCAACCCGACTCCAGATGGACCACAACTCATCCTGACGGCCCTGACGTGCCAGATCAGACATGTAGGCGCGGAAGTCCAACCAGTTCGCGGGAGCCAAGGTCGGCAAATTTGTGTGAATGACTGTAGGCTCATCATCCATTCCGACACAGGGATCACTTCCCTGGGAGAAAAGAAATGTTCCAGCTTGCCAGTTTGGCTCTAGCCAAGTCTTAAGCCAAAATGGCTACGGGCCGGTACATTGCATCCTCAAAATGAAACATGCACACCCAAGGCCTGCCTAACTCAATGCATGTGCATTCATATTATCATATGTATATAGATAGATAGATAGATGGATAGATAGGGGTTTACGAAAATAGGGACCCCTAGAAATGATCCCAAAATGGCAGGATTGCTTATTCAGATATTTATTTCTATTCTTTCTTGTTCGAATATAATAAGGCTTAGGGTTTAGGGTCAAGGGTTGGGGGCTTCAGGATTGAGCTTAGGGTTTGAGGCCTGGGTTGTCTGGACAACCCCTAAACCCTAAACCCCCCACAACCCTACACCCAAAATACCGAACGTGCCAAAGCTGAGGCAAGCGACGAGCCCAGCGTCAGGAACCTCGGGGCAGTCCGTGTGCTAGTTCGAGATCGACAAGTGCTCAGGAAACAGGGATTTAATGAACTGTGACGCCTGGGCCCCTGAGCCCTAAACCCCAAACCCAAAATCCGTACATCCTTGTTTAGTGTTTCGGCTCGCGGCTCCCAGCAACGAGCTTCCCTTAGTCGAGACTCTTCAATTTTCTAGGCTGCCCAGTAACCTAGGCTTAAAAAGGGTGCCCTTTTTTGCTTAAAGGGGTTTATAAGGGAACCTAAGCCCCACAAAAAGGGAATAAGGGCACTACTGGGCATCCTAGTTTTGTAGCCCAAGAGTAACCTGGGAAACATGGACTCTTGGCAGGGGCAGAGAGCCATGCTCGACAGGTGAGATGTTTTGGGTTTAGGGTTTAGGGTTTAGGGTTTAAGGTTTAGGGTTTAGGGTTTAGGGTTTAGGGTTTAGGGTTTAGGTGAGATTGAGGCTTTAGGGTGCTTTTCGGGTTTTGGGGGTTTGCTGGTTGAGGCTGTAGGGTTGAGTTTAAGCCTTCTTTGCGAGGGCTGTATGGAATCTAGGGCTGTTAGGGGTATAGGTGTTAGGGTATGCCAAACCCTAAACCCTGAACCACGCATTTTCGGCCAGAAGGGCCTAGTTCATGCAGGGCGCACAGTGGAGGTCTCCTTCTCGTTGCTCGACACCGCGGTAGTATTGCTGCTGCCCGTGCCGTACAGATCCTTCTGCCAGTTTTGGGGTTTAGGGGCTTAGGGGGTTTGGGGTTAAAGGGGCTTCCGGGCTTGGCTTCAGGACATAACAAACGAAGCTTAGAAGCGCTTTGCCTTGCAGCGGTCTCCTTAAGTCCTGTATACATCCTTGCCCCACGGAAAGGGCCCCCCCCACCTCAAACCCAAAACTCCCCCAAACCCTAAACCCTGAACCCGAAACCCTAAACCCTAAACCCTAGATATGGCCCATAGAAAAATCGCGAGTGAAACCCTTTTTTCTCCAGACCCACCCCAATTGAGCGCTGAAGGTAGCCCTCGACGCAGACCCTTACAACCCTCCGAACAAAAACTCTGAACAGGGTTTAGGGTTTAGGGTTTAGGGTTTAGGGTTTAGGGTTTAGGGTTTAGGGTTTAGGGTTTAGGGTTTAGGGTTTAGGGTTTAGGGTTTAGGTTTAAAGGGTTTAAAGGGTTTAAAGGGTTTAAAGGGTTTAAAGGGTTTAAAGGGTTTAAAGGGTTTAAAGGGTTTAAAGGGTTTAAAGGGTTTAAAGGGTTTAAAGGGTTTAAAGGGTTTAAAGGGTTTAAAGGGTTTAAAGGGTTTAAAGGGTTTAAAGGGTTTAAAGGGTTTAAAGGGTTTAAAGGGTTTAAAGGGTTTAAAGGGTTTAAAGGGTTTAAAGGGTTTAGGGTTTAGGGTTTTGGGAAAATAATACCCTAAAACCAAACCCTAAGACCCTAAAGCCCTCAACCCTAAAACCCTAAATACCCTAAGACCCTAAAACCCTAAACCCTAAAACCTTATATACCCTAAGACCCTAAAAGCCTAAACCCTAAATACCCTAAGACCCTAAAAGCCTAAACCCTAAACCCTAAACCCCGAAATACCCTAAGACCCTAAAACCCTCAACCCTAAAAGCCTAAATACCCTAAGACCCTCAACCCTAAACCCGAAATACCCTAAGACCCTAAAACCCTAAACCCTAAAACCCGAAATACCCCAAGACCCTCAAACCCCCAAACCCTAAAACCCTAAATACCCGAAGACCCTAAAACCCTAAACCCTAAATACCCTAAAAACCGAAAACCTAAACCCCAAACCCTAAACCCCGGCCCCCCCTCAAGGGAGTCCTTGCACTGCTTCCATGTGGGAATGTGCGTTCCGGAGGGGCCTGAGCTGCGACCCTAAACCCTAAACCCAAACACCCTGAACCCTAAACCCGAAACCCCAAACCCTAAACCCCAAACCCCAAACCCTAAACCCTAAACCCCAAACCCTAAGCCCTAGCTAGACCCCAAAGCCTACACCCTCAACCGAATCCATCTGTCATGACCGGCGAAGGGCTTCGGTCGCCTGTAGCCGTTGACCCGGGCGTGCGAATGCAGGATCCCGTTGAGGGCGCAAAGGACTCCTCTCCCTTTTAGTAGCCCAAAACCCTATAAAACCCTATAAAGCCCTATAAAACCCTATAAAACCCTATAAACCCTATAAAACCCTATAAAACCCTATAAAACCCTATAAACCCTATAAACCCTATAAACCCTATAAACCCTGTAAACCCTAAACCCTAAATCCTAAACCCTAAATCCTAAGCCCTAAACCCTTACATAAAAGTATTGGGGTACTGAGGCCGCACACATTTCTGCATGTTTTGGCCCGGTAGGCAGTTGCCCGGCTTCACGCAGCCTAAGCCAGCAGCACTTGGGAGGAGGGGGGAGGGGCTTTCTGAAAGTAGGGTTTAGGGTTTAGGGTTTAGGGGGTCGGGTTTAGGGAGTTCAGGGTTCAGGGTTTAGGGTTCAGGGTTTAGGCTTTAGGGTTTAGATAGGGCCAACTGCGGTGGGCAACCCTCCCCGGGCCGGAAGCACCGGGGCAGGGTGATTTTGAGGGTGCAAGGTTCAGGGTTTTAGGGTCTTAGGGTCTTAGGGTTTTAGGGTTTTAGGGTTTTAGGGTTTTAGGGTTTTAGGGCTTTAGGGTTTTAGGGTTTTAGGGTTTTAGGGTTTTAGGGTTTAGGGGTTCGGACTTACTTGAGATTCGGGTTCAGGATTTCCAAGAAAGTTGTCCCTCATGCAGGGAGTAGTGGAGACCTGATGTGACTTTGAAGGCAAACTCTGACCCCCGTCATTTAGGGCTTGGGGTTTAGGGTTTAGGGTTCAGGGTTGAGGGTTTGGGCCTTTTGGGGGTCTAAGCACGGCACCACGGAAAGTGAGGACCCCATAGTATGGGGGAGCCCTTGGTCCCCCAATGTTTTCGGGGGAGGTTCGGGGTCCCGCAGTCCGAGACGGAAACCTCCTGAGCCCTCGGTTTAGGGTTTGGGGTTTGGGGCTTAGGGTCCTCCTACCCAGCCTGAGAACGGGCTTCGGGTTTAGGGTTTAGGGGTTGCTCCTATATCCTGAAGGTTCCTTTACTTGTGTTTAGGGTTTGGGCTTTGGGGTTTGGGGCTTACTACATGCCCATTTTGGAAGGGCCCTTTGAAAAAGGGATTCGGACGTAACTGCGCCTAGGGCTCAGGATATAGAGTTTCGGGTCAACAAAAACCCAAACCCCAAACCCTAAACCCTGCGTGCCCGGACGATCCACGGTTTGGGTTCCCGTGAGCTCCCGGACGCCCCCGCCCAGAACGACACCTTCACTGAAGTCTTGCAGGAGAGCTGATGGCTTCCGACAAGAACTCCCCGGTGGTCGACAAGTGCGTCCTGAGGCCGCGACTGGCAAAGGCTAAAAGATGCCGCTGTGCTTGCAAGTGCAGCCCAATTCTAAACCCTGCCCCCCTCAAATCCTCAAGCCCCAAACCCCAAAAGCCCGAAAGCCCCCCAAAAAATAGCCACAAACGTTAAACCCAACAAAAAGAGAGCTGAAACCCCAGACCCAAACACACCAAGATTGGCTGAAGCCAGAGCGATGTCCAGAGAGCCCAGATGGGAATTAGGAAGGCTACCCCCCCCCCCCCCCCACCCCGCTTTTTGTTCAACGAGGCCTACATGAATTCTAAATGTGTAGGAAGCTATACCTGGACTTCCCAAAGTTCCCTCAACCCTAAAACCCTCAACCCTAAAACCCTAGACCCTAAAACCCTAGACCCTAAAACCCTGAACCCTAAACCCTGAACCCTCAAACCTCAAACCCTAAACCCCCACACCCAAAATTCCGAACCGTGCCGGGCTGCTGGATGCACGTCTTGTTCCCCCGGCCCTCTTGTGCTGGGGTGCATGGCCTGGGGCAGCTGTTCGCCAAAACACCTGGGACCATGGACGGTTTTAGGGTTCAAGGGTGGACCCTAAACCCTAAACCCTAAACCCTAAACCCGAAACCCTAAACCCTAAACCCTAAACCCTGCGAGGGTTTAGGGCTTAGGGGGTCGGACCGGACCTACCTGGAACTCTCAGGGCTTCGGGTAGGGCTTAGGGTCCCTGACGCCACCTGCTTTCGTGTTGGCTTTGGCTTTGCGCACGGCCGAAGTCATGCGATCAACACAAGAGGAGGCAGTAGTTTGGGGAATGGATCAGGGACCCTAAACCCTAAACCCTAAACCCTAAACCTTAAACCCTAAACCCTAAACATTAAACATTAAACGTCCTTGAAGTCCTTGTCTTCCCTTCGGCTTCATCTTTGAGATGTTGGTTCCATTGAATGCCCTAACCCCTAGACCCTAAACCCTAAACCCTAAACCCAAATCCCTACTGCGCCACCCATGCTGCTGACAACAGACACAGGACAGAGAGCTGAGGGTGTCGGGCTTACGGCCAGAGACTCCGGGGTTTAGGGTTTAGGGTTTAGGGTTTAGGGTTTAGGGTTTAGGGTTTAGGGTTTAGGGTTTAGGGTTTAGGGTTTAGGGTTTAGGGGTTAGGGGTTAGGGGTTAGGGTTTAGGGTTTAGGGTTTAGGGTTTAGGGCTTCTGGAATATGCCTTCGATTGTAGTCCGGATCCTGTGATTGAAGATAGATATTCCTTGAGGGAGATTAACACCAGCCCTCTTAGTTACAGTACGCAAAGGTACCATGATTTAGAGAACTGCCAAGAATGTGTCGTACACCTGGGCATCAAGGGCCTGTAGGCTCTACGTAGGTCAGGGTGGTCTGTGGAGGCAACATTCCAGACCCCCCTTGGAAATCCTACACCCGAATCCCCCAAATCCCGAAAAAACCCCATAACCCCTAAACCCCCAAAACTCACAAAACTCCTAAACCCCCCCAAACCCCACAACCTCCTAAACTCCCAAAACCCGCTAAACCCCTAAACCCTCCAGTTTTTCTTAATCGGGATTATAGTACCCCTATTAGATTCCCAACCCAAAACCCCCAAAACCCCCTAAACCCTCCAAAGAAAAATAAAACTAAAACCCCAAAAAACCCCAAAAACCCAAAACCCCCAAAACACCCAAAACCGCTAAAACCCTAAAACCCCCAACGCCCCCCCCTAAAACCCGTAAAAGCTCCTAAAACCCCCCTAAACCCTACAACCCCCTTTAGACCCTAAACCCTAAACCCTAAACCCTAAACCCTAAACCCTAAACCCTCCGAAGAAACACAAAAAAAGGCGAGGCTCCGCTGAACTTGGGGATGCAGTAGTCCACGTCAGCATCCTCGGACAGGGGGGGGGTTAGGGTTTAGGGTTTAGGGTTTGGGGTTTAGGGTTTAGGGTTTAGGGTCCGCCGACCCTGGCGGCGTGTTGGATGGGAAAAGGAGGTGAAAACTCCCTCCTTACCCCCCACAAAACGCGGGGGGGGGGGGGGGGGGTAGGGGGGGGTACCCCGCCAGCTTTTCCGTGGAGGAACAGGCCACCCACACCGCGTAAACTTATGGACCATAGGCGTTTTCGCAGGGGCTCTTTTGGAAAAAAACCCCTCACCGCGTAAACTTATGGAGCAAGGCGTTTTCGCACAGGCATAGGGGCTCTTTTGGAAAAAAACCCCTCCCCCCTTGAAACTTGTTCTCCTGCGGGGTCGGCGGCTTGAGCCGGAGGCTCTTAAATTTAGGGTTTAGGGTTTAGGGTTTAGGGTTTAGGGTTTAGGGTTTAGGGTTTAGGGTTTAGGGTTTAGGGTTTAGGGTTTAGGGTTTAGCGTGCCAATCGGAAGCGCGCCTTGGGAGCGCGCAGTAGTCTGCCGACCCACCCACCCCAAGGACGCCCACTTACAACTCTCATGGAGTTAAGGCCTTCTTTGATTTTTTACACAAAGCACACATGACATGGGTCAGCACCCGCGCCCTTTTTGGGGACCTCCAAGACAGAAACCGAACAAGTGCGTGGACAGCTTGGGTTGGGCCAGGGAGGCCAGGGCAGGCCAAAGTGGCCAGGGTCAGGGACAGCGGAGACAGGCAATGTGCGCGGACAGCCTGGATTGGCGCAGGGCGCTCAAGGCTAAAACAGCCAAAAACTCAGAACCTTTCCGGGCCGGGGGGCCAGGGCCAGGGCGGCCAGCGGGTACAAGGACCCTCGCAGGGTCTCACTGGGCGGTTGACCAGCGCCGGCCCCAAAAGACAAGAGAGTGGGGTGGCGGGCAGGTTGAGAGGGGGTGGGGTTTTCTAGTACTGAAGGTTGAGATAGGTGCACCGGCCTGGGCGTACACCCATGGAATCGCAATGGCAGAAGAACAAACTCCTCAACTTTCCCTCCCCGAAGCAGACAAACGGCCGGGTTTGGGGTTTAGGGATTGGGGTTGAGGGTTCGAAACCCCCCAGACCGTGAAAGTCCTAAAGCCTGAAACCCACAGTCGCATGTTAGATCTGAGAAGACGGCGTTCGGGTCCGCACACGTGAGCCTGCAGGGATAGGGCTTGGGGTTTAGGGGTTTAGGGGTTTAGGGGTTTAGGGGTTTAGGGGTTTAGGGGTTTAGGGGTTTAGGGGTTTAGGGGTTTATGGGGGTTTATAGGGACGGTTTAGGGTTTAGGGTTTAGGGGTTTATGGGGGTTTATAGGGACGGTTTAGGGTTTAGGGGTTTAGGGGTTTAGGGGTTTAGGGGTTTAGGGGTTTAGGGGTTTAGGGGTTTAGGGGGTTAGGGGGTTAGGGGTTTAGGGGTTTAGGGGTTTAGGGGTTTAGGGGTTTAGGGGTTTAGGGGTTTAGGGGTTTAGGGGTTTAGGGGTTTAGGGGGTTTAGGGGGTTTAGGGGTTTAGGGGTTTAGAGTGTATAGGGTTCAGGGTTTACGGAATTTTGGATGGAGAGTTTCTCTGGATAACATGCTCTGCATCCGGCGTTGCTATTGGAGGGCTTGGCAAAGAGCTTGGGCGACTTTACTATATTCAGGTGGTTTGCAGGGTAACCCCTAAACCCTAAGCCCCAAACCCCAAACCCCTAAACCCTAAGCCCCAAACCCCAAACCCCAAACCCCAAACCCCAAACCCTAAACCCTTTTCGGCCAGCTGCGGTACTTGCTGCTCTTGGCGAGCTCGGCTCTCACGAAACTGCCGTCTACCGGCAGATGTGGGGATCAGGTTGACGGTGTTCACATTCCCTTCGGATTACCTATTTAAACGCGGGTTTTCGGCAATATGCGTATCCCTGTTTGGGGGATTCCTGCAGGAAGGATCGTACCAGTTTCTCGCGGGTGTAAGCCTTCAACCATGGTTCAGGGCAACGGTTGGACATCCACGGCAACCCCGGAATAGAGCTTCAATCCAAAAGACCCCCAGCCCAAAGCAAGGGCCGTGAAAAGCCATCTCGAGATTTTAACCAAAACCTTGTACCCTGACCGGCGAACAGCACATAGGGTCAAGCCCCAAGAGCTCAAGCCAAGGGACGTGTTCTTGCCACAGGGGCACTTCACACCCTGGTTCACGCACTGGGTGGTGGTGTTGGAGGGCTTTCCTGGCGACTGGCCAACAACGCGTTACAAGGGCTGTTCAGGCTGCAGGGCCCTAAACCCTAAACCCTAAACCCTAAACCCCTAACCCTAAACCCTAAACCCTAAACCCTAAACCCTAAACCCTGAACCCAGGGTACCGAGAGCCTACGGGGTTTAGGTCTCAGGGTTCTTTTTGCCCTGAGTTATTCTCCCTGAATTCCCCTGAAGTTTACATAGGCTTAGCGCACAGGGCTCAGGATTGTTTAGCCCTAAGCCCCTCATAACCTACGATTTGCTCAAGAAAACACCCCAAAAAAACCCTTCCTTCCAAAGGCAACATAGGGATTAGCAGTTTTCTATTGTTATTCTTTCATGCTTTTTGTTGGGAGGGCTCTGGCAAATAGTAGTAGTTACTACCCCTAAACCCTAAACCCTAAACCCTAAGCCCTAAACCCTAAACCCTAAACCCACTAGTTAGGGGTCTTGAAAAGGTTTTGGGAGCCGCCTGTGGACGTGTAGTCCAGCACGTCGCACTGCCTCTCCGCCTCGCCGCAGGGGCAGACCAGTGCGGCCTTCGACCTGGGACCGCCAGCAGGGGTTTAGGTGCTTAAGGGTTCTATAGGTTTAGGGTTTTAGGGCTTTAGGGTTTTTAGGGGTTTAGGGGTTTAGGGTTTCGGGTTTTAGGGGTTTAGGGTTTAGGGTTTAGGGTTTTAGCGGTTTAGGTGCTTAGGTGTTTGGGGTTTAGGGTGTAGGGGGTTTATGGTGTAGGGTGTAGGTGTTTAGGGTGTAGGGTGTAGGTGTTTAGGGTTTAGGTCTAGGGTGTAGGGTAGAGAGGTTTAGGCGTTCAGGGGCTTCGGGCTTAGGGGCCTGGGAGTTTCGGGCTTCGTTTCCCCAGTAAGCTGGGAATGGGAAACGGCAGCCTTCTTTCGCGTTTGAAGGGGCTGAGCATCCTCGATTGTCTTGGATGTGTGGAGGGTAGGGGTTGAGGCTTTGGGGTTTAGGGTTTAGGGTTTAGGGTTTAGGGTTTAGGGTTTAGGGTTTACTAAACCCTAAACCCTAAACCCTAAACCCTAAACCCTAAACCCTACACCCTAAACCCAAAACCGTTTAGGTTCCACGGCTCCGAAACACAAGCGGCGCAGGGTTTGCCCGAGACGCCAATCTGCCTGAATGAGGGTTTAGGGTAAGAGGGATAACAAAACGACCATGACCTTCGGGTTCAGGGCTTCTGGCTTAGAGTTACTTCTCAGGCTGAGCATTGAGGTTGGACGAAGAAGCTCTTGCAGGAAGTGGCAACAGGTGGTAACCGACAGTAGGGTCCGAAAGGATGGTTGGCAAACGCTCGTCCAGCGGCAACGCCCCGCGCCGCTGCGCCGCAAAGACGGAACTGTCTCCGCCAACTTCAGGAAAGCCGCTCGGTCTGCCCGAATGGTTTGCGCCAAGGAGACTTTGGCATAACCTGGCGGGGGGGCCTCTTGCAGGCGCTGCACGAGCGACTGATGGTAGCGATTTGCGACATCATATGTCAGGACCCCAACCAAATCGAACGCCAAAGCTCGGCGCCAGGACCAAATCAAGATCTGAATTGAATGCGCAGTTGTGGGCAGATGGCTTGTCCTTGACAGTGACGCCTCTGCCACGGCTTGGGGTGTCCCCACCCTGCGGTGCGACGTCGAAGTCCGAAACCCTGATTAAGGTTTAGGGCTTAGGGTTTGGGGTTTGGGGTTTAGTTAGGGTTTAGGATTTAGGGTTTAGGGTTTAGGGTTCAGGGTCTGACCCCAGCCCCAAACCCTTTGAGACCCTGAACCCTTCACCCCGCCCCCAACTCAAACCCGAAAGCCCGAAACCCAACTTGCAGAAGAGCCGAGAGACGGCAGCAAACAGGCTTCAGATCCCGGACACCTTTGCGTATTCTTGCCGCACCTGCAAGCTTTAGGGTTGACGGGGGACTTAGGGGTTTAGGGTTTAGGGTTTAGGGTTGAGGCTTGAGGGTTTTAGGGGTTTAGGTGTTTAGGCGTTTGAGGGATTTCTGAGTTTAGGGGTTTCGGGGTTGGGGGGTTCAGGGGTTCAGGGGTTTCGGGATTCCGAGGTTTGGGGGTTTAGGGGCTTAGGGGTTTAGGTTTTTTTTCGGGGTTCCGGGGTGTAGGGGTTTGGGGGAATCGGGGTTGCGGGGTTTCGGGGTTCAGGGGTTTGGGGGCTTAGGGGATAGGGTCTAAAGGGAGGGTTTTGCGGGCGTAGCATTTGTGGGGGTTAACGGGGCAGGGAGCACAAGACTCCATTGGGAATATTTTCAACCTATTCCCCAAACCCTAAACCCTAAACCCTAAACCCAACAAAAAATGCCAAACCCTAAAAAGAGGAAGACGGGGGCTTGTGGCGTGGGAATCTCTTGGTGCCGTATGAGGTGTTGGGCTCTCTGGTTAGAATCAGGTTCAGGATGCGGGTTTAGGGTTTAGGGCTTAGAGTTTAGGGTTTAGGGTTAGAAATTATTGGGAAATGGTTGCATGAGGACTCCTACATGGGGCGTTGGGCTAGATTCGGTTTAGGGTGCTACAAAGGAGGGATCTTTTGGGTTAGGATCCCCAAAAATGACACCTCATGACACTCACCAATTTTTGTTCGGAGACAGCTGGGCAATGACCAATACCTCAAACACAAGCCCCACCTCATATGACCGAAAACCTTTTAAGGCAAGGTCTCCTGAAAGAACGGGTCTCGCCCCCCCCCCCTCCCTTTCCCCCCCCTTCTTTTCCTGGATTTCGGGCTTTATGTTTATGACCAACTGCAGCTCTGCCCACGGACAGTTGGCATTCACATCCACGCAGACCTCGCGGTCACCTCGACACTCGGAGGGGCGCAGGCTGTAGGGTTTACAGTTGAGGGTGTAGGGCTTAGAGCTTTTTACAGTTGAGGGTGTAGGGTTTAGAGTTTTTTACAGTTGCGGGTGTGGGGTTTAGGGCTTAGGGACCAAAACCGCCAGCAACCGCCCTCCCCTCCCATGCATTAAGAAATAAACAAGACCAGGGCCTCCCACCAAAATGCAATGTAAACGAAAACACCAAGGAATCTAGCAAAAAGTGTGTATAGACATGTGCATATATACATATATCACACATCATATAATATGGACATATATATATATATATATATATATATAGATCGGTACATATGCATGGATACGTGTAACTATGAAACTTGTTAGATGGCAATATACAGCGAAGATGCTTGTGATGCATCTGTACATGTACATATCGAGGAACATACATACACGCTAGATCGTACAATATGGCATATAGAATGCACGCAATATATGTACATACATAATATATATATATACATATTCTCATTATATCTATTGAATTACATATGTATTCAGAGGGATCCACCAGGCTAGGCACTGATAAACTCCTCGTTGGCTGTGTAGTCAGTGAGATAGCCTGGTGACCGGGTGGAGAATTTTAGGCTTCTAGGGTGCAAGGCACCTAAGGCTTAAACGTTTTAGGGCTTAAGGGGGTTTAGGGCTTAAGGCTCTGAGGGTTTAGGGTTTAGGGTTTAGGATTTAGGGTTTAGGGTTTATTTAAGGGTTGAGGGCGTGGCTTCGGGTACGCCGAGGGCTGCGGACGTGTGGTTAAGGGTTTGCGGTCCGGAGGTTCCAGGGTTTAGGGTTTCGGGTTTAGGGTTTCGGGATTAGCCCGGCATGCTGGGGTTTGGGGGCGGCGGTAAGGCTGTCTGAGCTGAGTGGGAAGCCCTCCAAAATCCTACCAACCCCCAATCATGAGACTCTACCTTGGACCCCTGGGGCTGTGTTTTGGGTTTGGGGCCCCTTGGGTTAAGGTCCTCTAAAGGAAACAAAAAGTGCCACACTAGGAGCATGCCACGAAAACCTCGAGGTACATCCTTAGGGGTTTAGGGTTTAGGGTTCAGGGTTTACAAAAGAAAACCAGAAAGCCTAAGATTGGCAGAGTGGGACGTCTAAGCCCGAAACCCAAAACCTCGGCCTGGGATCAGCACACCCGGGGCCGAGGTAGGAGTCGGGCTTAGGGCTTGGGGCTGAGGTATTGGGGGCTTAGGTTTTGGAGATTGGGGCTTAGGGTTTGGAGTTTAGGGTTGGGGGGGGGGGGGGGTTAGGGTTTGGGGTTGGGGGTCTGCTGGTCCCTACCACGCAGAGAACTTTCCATGTGTTGTTAGGGTTGCTAGTCGCTTGGTCTGCTCCCTTAATCGGGGAATCCTTACATACCCCGCATAGGGACCATACTAAGAGACCAAGCAGCTTCCCTTAGATGTGTGCCATGATGAGGTACCTCTAAAGGCGCTAAACTTGGGAACTATAATCCCTATTAAGGACTGTTAGTATAAGGGGGAACATCCCAACCCTAAGTCAAGGACCTTGGCATCAATGGCAACTCAGACACGCCTCCATCGATTTTAAATTTCCTAGGGTCCGAACCACAAAGACAGCTTGTGGGTTGCAAGGTGTTGGTTTAGGGTAGATTCACCATCGAATCTACGCCCCCAAACCCAAACAGTGCGAACCCCTAAACTCGAACAAGCCTTCACAAACCTATATCAAACCTTAACAAACCCTTACAAACCCTGAGCCCTAAACCCTAAACCCTAAGCCGCCAAGAAACACTTCTTCTGGTTCGCGGAGCAAACCACGGGGCAATCTTCGTCCTGGAGCAAGAGCCGCTTTCGGCTAAGCGGTTTAGGTTTTTTCGGGCTTTCCGAAATTAGAACCAGGGGGGAGGTGGGGTACCTTGTTGGGATCCTTACTAGAAGGGGATCCTACTGCTGTGGGGTCTATATTGGGGGTCCCTGAACCCTAACCCTAAACCCTAAACTCATAAACCCCCATATTGGGTTGAGGGTTTAGCCTCAAAAAAGGGGTACCCCTGAAATGTCTTCCGGCTTCAGCTCCCTCAAGATACATTGATGACCTGGGGTGTAGGGTTTAGGGTTTAGGGTTTAGGGTTTAGGGTTTAGGGTCGGGGATTTGGGGTTGAGGGGGTGTTCTACATGGCTTGGGGTTTTTGGTCGGCGTCCAAGCGCTCCTGAAGAAAGTTAGGCAGGAAACCGCGCGTTTAGATTTACTTCTGTGGAGTTAGAAAGAACCTGAAAGCCTCAGCTGAGTAGACCCTAAACCCTAAACCCTAAACCCTGAACCCTGAACCCCAACCCCTAAACCCTAAACCCTAAACCCTAAACCCTAAACCCTAAACCCTAAACCCTAAACCCTAAACCCTAAACCCCCCACACCCTTGCCCCCGCTGGCCTTAAAGATGCACCGGATCCAGGAGCCCGTGCAGCTCTTGGCCTTCCGAGTCTTAAGGGGTCTTAGGGCATTTTAGGGTCTAGGGTTTAGGGTTTAGGGTTTAGGGTTTAGGGTTTAGGGTTTAGGGTTTAGGGTTTAGGGTTTAGGGTTTAGGGTTTAGGGTTTAGGGTTTAGGGCTTACCCAACATCTGCCCCCTCAACCCTGAACCTAAGCCCTCAACCCTAAACCCTGAACCCCAAACCCTCAACCCTGACCCTCTAATCCTCAGGTTGCTGAGGGTTGATTGAGAATACTCTGGGATTCTGGGATTAGGGCGTCAGAGTCTGGGGGTCATAGCTACACATCGTCTAAGGCTAGTTCCATGGGCCCTCAATCTGGTCCCTTACCTCCTTTACAGGGTTCTGAAGTATGGGTAGCGTAGGGTATATAAGAGGGCCGATACTAAGGGACCATGCAACGACCCCAAGACATCATCTGACCTCTAGGGTTTAGGGTTCGGGTTTAGGGTGTAGGAACAAGAAAAGGCAAGCAGTTGGAGCTAAATCTCGTCTGTATAGCGGTTTAGGGTTGGGATGTTCCCCCTTATACTGACAGTCCCCAATAGGGATTATAATAGTACCTAATCCCCATCAAGGACTATTAGTATAGGGGAGAAGATCCCAAGGTTTAGGGTTTAAAACCTGAGAACATCTGGAAGTCTCTCAAGCGGCCGCCCGCCTCTTTGCCGCAGGGGCCTGGGCTGAGGGCGCCAGGCCACAAAATTAAGAGTCATAAGGAGGGTAGAAGGGACTGTTAATCTGATTCCCCTATATAACCCCTGAATATTCCTCATATAGTCCCTATGGGCCGGCCAGATAACATCTAAATAGCCCATACGGACCCCCTTGACAAAAGACATGCCCATCACCCCCAGACATAAACGGCACCACAACGTCCGTCGAACCCGAACCCCCCCCAAACAAAAGAGAATAACATTGAACAACGAAGAAAGAACAATAATGCGTAGTACATCGTGCATAATACAGACAAAAAAGCTGAAATCACAACAACTGGTAAGCAAAGAATAAGGAAGAAGGACGGAAGGAGAAGAAGTTGTTTCTTACCTTGCCGGCTCTCACTTTGGCTCAGAACTGACAATTTGTCTCTCTAGACCCAGGAGTAACCAAGGGATTCAAAGGGTATCCTTTTGGGTCCCAGGCCGCTCATTTAGCACAAGCACGAAGACCCATTATTCGAGAGCAGTTGCCAGCTCCCCCCCCCCCTAAGTGTAGGCTTACGTGGTTTAGGGGGTTAAGGGGTTTAGTGCTGCCTTTGAAGAAAGGGGCGGACCCCTGATATTCAGTCATTCAGTCATTCAGTCATTCAGTCATTCAGCCCTTACTCTAGGCGACCTAAACAGGGCACCCCTACTATTTTCGGAATCCCAATCCGACCCTCAACCCCAAACCCTCGCATATTTTCGGACATCCCTCCCTCGCCCCTTCCCCCCCCCCCCCCCCCCCCCCCCCCCACCCCCCCCGCAGCCCCGTCCCAGCTCCAGCCCACAGTATTCAGGATCCCCGAAAACCCCAAAATTGTTTGGGGGGGGAGGGGGGGGGCCGCTGCGCACTAAAGCGAGTCCAACATTAAACCCAACAAGGGAGTTCATAAAATGTCCCAAGTGCCTACCTAGTAATTGCTGAAATTTTAAGTGCTGGCTGGTGGCAGCTCTCGAGGTTGGCAGCGCACTGCACAGACGGCTGCGCCTCACCTCGGCCCAGGTGTTGGGTTTGCTAAGTCGGAGGGCGTTTATTTGGAGGTTCAGCGTACTTATTAGCCAATTACAACTGTACTTATAGACCACGTATAAGCCCCTTAAGTGCCTGAATATGGTCATAAGTGGGGGTTTAGGGCATGGGGTTTAGGGTTGGGATTCCCAACTTAGGCCCTGTCTTGGGGTACCCACTTCGGGCCCGTGCAAGGAGAGTCAGAGAGCTTGCATTGAGAGTTTCCAGAGAGCCTAAGCCCGCAAGCCCCGAAAACCTAAACCCTAAACCCTAAACCCTAAACCCTAAACCCTAAACCCTAAACCCTAAACCCTAAACCCTAAACCCTAAAGGAATCAGAATGGATTTGGGCTTCCTGAACAATTCCAGAAAAGCAGAGAGGAGGAACACCAGACAGTAAACTCCGAAGAGTCGGAACATGATTTAAGGATGAGTAGAGCTGGGATTCCCTTAGTATACCTTCGGGGTATGGGGATAAGGATATTCAAATAAGGATGAGTAGTTAGTATACCTTTTGGGGTATGGGGATAAGGGTGTTCAAACTTTTTGGGGTTTACTGTAAGCAGATTTCATTGGATTGAGGCCTGGCGATTCTTTGGACGCGCTTAGGGTTTAGGGTTTAGGGTTTAGGGTTTAGGATTTAGGGTTTAGGGTTACCCTGACTCAGAGAGTTGGCCACGTGGGGACGGGAAGGGGATGGGGATGGGAGGGCCTGCTGTTAGCTGTGGTCCCTTACAAGTCCTAGAGATTTATATCCCCAAGCTTTGAACACCAAGTCCCAAAATCAAAGCCCCAAGCCCTTCTTCATCTGGAAAAAACCTAAACCCTAAACCCTAAACTTCGGGTTTCGGGTTTAGGGTGTAGGGTTTAGGGTGGGTTGAGAGGTTGCAGGTTCAAGGTTTAGAGGCTCAACGTGGCCAAGCCCTAGACATTCCCCTACACCTTAAACCCTAAACCCTAAACCCTAAACCCTAAACCCTAAACCCTAAACCCTAAACCCTAAACCCTAAACCCTAAACCCTGAACTTGAACCCTAAACCCCAAACTCACCCCAAGGGGCCCAGGTAGGTGCCATCGGGCTTGTAGTCGTCCACGCTTGGGCAGCTGACCTCCCCAAGCTCTTTTGGGGTTTAGGGTTTAGGGTTTAGGGTTTAGGGTTGAGGGTTGAGGGTTTAGGGGTCTAGAGGTAGGTGCTCTAACTAGGGTCCTTGATTCTTTGACCCAAACCTAGACCTGTAGTTCTACTTCCCCCAGTGGATGATGCAACCTAGACTGGTTCCCCGTCGTTAGAGGTCTAGGGTCCCCAGACCCCTTCGGGGGGATCCAAAAAGTAGAACACCCAAATGTGCCCCATACTACTATTGGGTCATTCTTCGGGCCCTTGAAGGGATATACTTTCTGGATCCTCCCGGGGGTCTGGGTCGTTAGGTGTGAGCAGAGCGGTCAAGACCATAGTTCAATGGGCCTTTGTTTACAGCGGGAGTTGCTCGATGCTCTGAAAAAAAAACCCAAGGCCCCACCCTGAAACTCATGGCTCACACCCCCCGAAGGCTGTGTTCAAAATATTGTGGCTATCATGGTATTTATCATGAGTATTGTGCATGATCGTTACGTTTTTCTCAGCAAATCAAGAGCCAATGGCTCATCTTACTTACACATAGAATAATGTCAACTGACATTATTACTACACTGGAGGACGACGACGACCACCACCATCACCACGACGACGACGACGATTAAAAGTCTCGTGACGCTGCGCAGCTGGCGGCCTCGTTCGCCGCGCATGTGGCCGGGCAAAAGCCTGCGCTCGGGGTTTAGGGTTGTGCCAAACGCAAGCCACCTCAACGATAGGATGCAACTGGAAACACTGCCTGCTTCTAGGCTGGCCGATGCTAAGCAAGATCCTCTCAAGCCCACGCAAAAGAATGCAAAAGGACCACGATCTTGTTCTTATGCTAGCCAGTACTTTTTTTCTTGCGGTTCGCGTTTGCGAGTTTGTTCTTAAGCCCGTGAGGGAGGGCGGGGGAGGATACCGAGGACTGGAGCACAAGAAAAAGAGAGTCTGCACAACAAAAACACCCTGAAAATGGCTACGGGAGCAGAAGGGTACCCTTACTTCTCAGTCGGCATGCGCAGGTGAGGCAGTACTCAGGGTGCTGGGACTCCAGGAGCTCATGCGTGGTCTGCTCCACGTCCATAGACAGCGGCTCGGCGGACCAGAAGCTGGAGTAGTGGAGTCGGCAGTGTGACAAGCCGGTGCTGCGCTTGTACTTTCTGATCCGGCTCTCCGGATAGCAATCACTCTCCACGTTCACCGTGCCGCGGCCCAGCTTGAGGCAGCGCGGCAAGTGCTTGGAACGGCGAGTGGGCAGAGCAGAAGCGCCACAGCATGGGCAAAGAACGGTCTAAGATTTAGGGTTTAGGGTTTAGGGTTTAGTACTATATTTGCCACAGGCCAACCCAACCTGAGCAACAAGAACAAGAATAGCAAGCACAATAACAGTACGACGAAGATTGTGAGGGTGATTCTGACCATATATATATACATATATGTCCCAACTCCTTACCCAGGCTTTGGGCAGCGCTTGGCATCTGAGCTGGCCTCCGATCGGCAGGCACTCCGTCCAGGTTTCACCAAAGTCCTTGCAGAAAGTCTAAAATCTAAATCCCTAAGCCCTACACCCTGAACGTCCTGAACCCCTGAAGCCTTCAGGGTTTGTCGCACTGAGGGCACAAAGTGACCAGAAGCTACCAGAGCAGAGCTAGAACAAAGGTACCTGAGGAAACGGACTAGTACTTGAAGGTTCATGGTGCTCATTATCCCCTTATGGTTCCTACATAAATGTCTAAAATAACCCCCAAAGACCCCATTCGAATTAGTAAGGCCCCTATACTACTTACACCACCCAAAAGGGTTAAGGGTTTAGAGTTTGAGGTGTACTTGGAGGTTCAGCGTACTGATTAACCAATTATAACTGTACCTACAACCCACAAAAATCCCCTGAAAGTAAGCCCTAATATGGTTTTAATTCGGGTTATACGTACAGTGAGAATTGATTAGGTAGGTGCCATGAACCTCCAAGTAGTCGTGATCGTTGCAGTGTAGCGGGGTGGTCAGGGTGAGGTGGAGGCCCACGCTATAGGCACCTGTCGTCATGCTTTTGCTTCGTGATAGTTTTTTGTCTCACTAATCTTCATGCTATTCTTCTTGTTGCTCTTCTTCTTACTACTCTTCAACCCTAAACCCTAAACCCTAAACCGTAAACCGTAAACCCTAAACCCTAAACCCTAAACCCTAAACCCTAAACCCTAAACCCTAAACCCTAAACCCTAAACCCCAATAACACTAAACCCTTATGTTGCTCATGATTCTTCTGCTGCCGACTCATGGCGCTCCCCGCGAAGTGCGACATGCTATGGCAAAACCCTGCTGGGACCTGTAGGGTTTAGGGTTTAGGGTTTAGGGTTTAGGGTTTAGGGCTTAGGGCTTAGGGCTTAGGGCTTAGGGCTTACGGTTAAGGGTTTCGGGCTTCGGGGATGCGTGCTAACTCACGGAGGAAGACTCCCGCTCATCATCCTCGTCTTCCCCCCTCCTACTACTCGCCGTCATCATATGAATATCTTTAACCAGTCATCATCCTCACTTCCTGCTCTCGGATGACCCTAAACATCCCCTGAAAAAATGTTCAGGTTTCAGGGTTTAGGGTTTAGAGCTTTAGGGATATGATCCTGTTAAACAAAGAAGGGGAAATAGACAATTGTCCAAAGGGCCGACCTAGCTAATCAGTAATCATCATCACTTCCTTCTTCCTCGTCTTTCATCATCTCCCCCTTCAGATCCCCGATTAACTATACTCCCCTTAGAACCTTAATAAAAACAATAGTTTCAATATCCTCTTAGGTTTTATATAAACAACAATGAAACATAATATGGTTCAGGGCTACCACCTCGCCAAGTCCTCCCTTCGCTTCCAAGAGGCGTTGCGGGTGCACGTGAAGGAATTCTGCCTGGCATTGGCGGAAGCACCCTGAGATTTAGGGTTGAGGGTTGGGGTTTTAGGGCTTAGGACCCGGAAGCTACTCCTATTTCTTAAGAGCCCACCAAGAAATTAAAGAAAATTGTCCCTACATTTGCCTCACAAGGAAGAAGTTTGTTCTTCATTTCTTTTTTTCTTTTTTTGTTTGTTTTTGTTCTTTTTTTTTGGGGGGGGGGGGGGGGGGGTTCTCAAGCACATAGGAGTGATGAGGGATACTGGAGGGGCTCCTGACTTCCTCCTCCGAAGCAATAATTCAACAGAAAGGACGGTACTGTTAAGGGTTTAGGGTTTAGGGTTTAGGGTTTAGGGTTTAGGGTTTAGGGTTTAGGGTTTAGGGTTTAGGGTTTAGGGTTTGGGGTATGAGAAGATTTGATAAAACGGTTGTTTATATAGCAGGGTTTAATGTGACGCGGGTTGGTATTGGAAGTTTTCTGAAGTCTTATACCATACGAATGACAGGCGTGTTTAACCCGGCCCCCAAAAAATCGGAGTCCTGCATTTTCGGGGCTGGGGTAACCAGATAGCGCGGATTTATATTCGCAAAGATCTGCCCTGAGCCTAAGCCCTAAGCAACCTCCAGAACTCAACTCCCAGGACCAATCCTTCAAGTACGAGGTTCCTCAGTAGCTTGCGAATCAAACAGGTCCCCCGTTTGGCACATGGGAACCCTAAACCCTAAACCCTAAACCCTAAACCCTAAACCCTAAACCCTAAACCCTAAACCCTAAACCCTAAACCCTAAACCCTAAACCCTGAACCCTTTCTAAAAAGAGGAAACTACCGGGCACCCTGAGTGAAGTGGGCCCAAGCGGCCCGGTGCAGGTGCAAGCCGTGCCCGCGGGAACCTTGGAAGTGCAACAAGGAGGGTGTGGGGTTTAGGGTTTAGGGTTTAGGGTTTAGGGTTTAGGGTTTAGGGTTTAGGGAAGGTTTACAGGATTTGGAGTGTCTAGGATAAGGTTTGCAGGGGTTGACAAAGGTGAACAAGGGCCTGTGAGGCCTTACAGAGTTCAGGGTTTAGAACTAGGATGGCCGCCTAAAACCCTTTGAACAACATTCCTAAATATGATCCTCTTAAACCCAATAAGGGAACCCTAAACCCTAAACCCTAAACCCTAAACCCTAAACCCTAAACCCTAAACCCTAAATCCTAAACCAAGGGTCGACCTAGAGAAGAGTCCGAGCTGGGGCGACCGGGAAAGGCCAAAGTAGACCTTCACGGCGGTTAATTCGACCGGACGACCTCATACTGCGGTCCTTCCTGGAGGATCACAAGTTGCCTGGTGGGTTTAGGGTTTGGGGTTTGGGGTTTGGAGGTGTAGGGCGGGGCTTTGGGGACTACAGAGTGTTTTGAGGCGCCGGGAGTAGCACCTTATCTCGTAGGTTCAACATCGGGCCTTGTACTTTCGCCCATTCGAGAGTCTTCTCGGTTGATGCACTCCCCCCAAGAAGTCGGCAGCGCACCCCTAAACCCTAAATCCTAAACTCTAAACCATAAACCCTACTAAACCCTAAATCCTAAACTCTAAACCATAAACCCTACTATAAACCCTAAATCCTAAACCCTAAATCCTAAACTCTAAACCATAAACCCTACTAAACCCCAAACCCTAAGTCGGACCCAAGTAAAAGCATTTCTCCGCCAAGGGCTCTTATGAATCCTCCATGATTCCTGCAAGTGGCTCCTATTATTATTCTTATGACTTCTCTTCTCTTATGCCCGACGAGGCCGAAGCCCTAAACCTACCAGCACCAAAGGATTCTTGAGAACCTCTTGACACCCGAAACCCTTAAACCCCTAAACCCGCAAAAGTCCCCCTAAACCCAAAGCCACCCCCCCCCCCCCCCCGCCAATCCCAGGGCCTCTTGCAGTAAGCTCCCAAAAACTCCAAAACCCTTGAACCTGTAAACCCCAAACCCCAAACCCTAAACCCTAAACCCCAAAACCCCAAATCCCCAAATCCTCTAAACTCCCCGCAAACCCGGCTCCGAGGGGCGCAGCTCTCCTCTGTGCTGAGCCAGTTGCCGTTGGCATCGTAGCCTTGGGCTTTCGGCCGGGGAAGAAGAGGGGGGGTTTAGGGTTTAGGGTTAGGTTTAGGGTTTAGGGTTTAGGGTTTAGGGTTTAGGGTTTAGGGTTTAGGGTTTAGGGTTTCGGGTTTGGGGTTTGGGGTTTGGGGTTTGGCGTTTGGCGTTTGGCGTTTGGGGTTTAGGTGGGTTTTTGGGTTTAGGGTTTAGGATTTAGGGTTTAGGGCTAGGGTGTAAGTAAGGCTGAAGGAACTTACCCTGAGACACAGCCCACAAGCGTGAAGCAAGCCCATGTAAGGGTGACCTAAACCCTGAGCCCCCAAAGCCGCGCCCGAAACCACACACCCAAAGCTTCCGAAAGAGCCATGGGTAGGCGCACAATGGTGATGGTCCACCCTAACCCTAAACCCTAAACCCTAAACCCTAAACCCTAAACCCTAAACAACGCCAGGTTGCTTGGGCTGTAGCAGGTGTCCTCGTCCGCGGTGCAATACACCGGGCAGCGCATGGTACCTCGGCTAAGGTAAACCCTAAACCCTAAACCCTAACCCCTAATCCCTAAACTCTAAACCCTAAACCCTAAACCCTAAACCCTAAACCCTAAACCCTAAACCCTAAACCCTAAACCCTAAACCCTAAACCCTAAACCCTAAACCCTAAACCCTAGCCCTAAACCCTGAACCCCACGGCCCTGCCAAAGCTGAAGCTGTACCCACAACCACCTGCCAAGCTTTAAGCTCTGAGGGCTAAGGCTAGACCTAACCAGACCTCAGCTACTTGAAGTTGGAGTACATACAACTTCGCCAGGGTTGCGAAAAAGTGTTAGGTCTTAGGGTTTAGGGTTTAGGGTTTAGGGCTTAGGGCTTAGGGTATTGCAGCTGTGCTCTAGAAGCCTCACAAGGAGATGTGGGGTTTTCCGAAATTATGGCACCTTATTCGGGTCCTTGGTAACAAGGGTATCCTGCTACCTAAACCCCCATCTGTGGGGCGGCTTGGGGTTTTGGATGTTCGGCCGCAGCACTGTTGTCAAAGTAGTCCACCAGCGGGTAGCACCAGGTGTCCTGGAGAAACCCTAAGCCCTAAACCCTAAGCCCTAAACCCTAAACCCTAGACCCTAAACCCTAAACCCTAAACCCTAAACCCTAGACCCTAGACCCTAGACCCTAAACCCTAAACCCTAGACCCTAAACCAAAAAAAATACCCTAAACCCTAGACCCTAGACCCTAGACCCTGGACCCTAAACCCCAAACCCCAAACCCTAAACCCTCCTCATGGGTAGTTTTAGACCAAAAAGGTGGTGGTGTTGCTGCATATGACTACAGCACCCTGTAAGCCTACAAGCAGCAACCCCACAATCATTCCAAAAGACTCCGAAAGATCCTGAAGCTGCTCCCCCTGAAGCCCTTCTAACCCTTAACCCTGAAAGCTTGCAACCCAAAACTCTTACGACCCCTACACCCTGATACCCTAAACCCTTATAGCCCTAAACGCCTAATCTCCAAACCCTAAACCCTCAACCCTAAAACGCCCTAAACCCTAAACCCTAAACCCTATTCCCATACAAGCTGGCGGGGGAGCTCTTCATCTTGCTGGGCCGAGTCTCCCCGAAGGGATCGCTGCACTGCTGGGCGTTCCGGCCTCAGGGGAGGGGGGGGGGGAGAGGTTTATGGTTTAGGGTTTAGGGTTTAGGGCTTAGGGCTTAGGGGGCTCGGGAGGAGGTGGCGCCCGTGAAGCCTCCACGGGCAAAGCAGGCTTGGCGGCTTGCGTTTGACTGAGTTTTTGGTAGGGAAAGTCTATATACGACAATAAGGGACCCCTAAGAAAGACCCCAAATAGTAGGGTTCCTTATAATAAGGACCCCAGTCAGGTTCCTCTACTTTGAAGGTTCATGGTACTTATGAACCAATATAACTGTACTTACAACCCAGATGACAACCAACATTTGGGCACGTCAGGGGCTTATAAGTGGGGTATAGGTAGAGTTCTAATGGGTTTAAAAAGTACCCCTAACCCCTAAACCCTAAACCCTAAACCCTAAACCCTAAACCCTAACCCTAAACCCTAAACCCTAAACCCTAAACCCTAAACCCTAAACCCTGATGGGTTAACAAGTACCCAGAACCTCCAAGAAGACCAATGAAAACACCCTGGGTGTGGGGACCCTTTTTTAAAGGATCCTCTAAGGCAAGCCAATGGCCCAAATAGGAGTAGGTTAAGGGAACCTCTTAGGGTGTACGTCCTTATGAATCCCTTGAGGGAAAAAGCTTCTAAAAACGAGGTGTACTTAGTAGAGGAGTTCCTGAACAGCCCCTGTTTCTGCGTCCGGGGGAGCTGCGCTAAGCGTTTCCTAAGCTTCGGAGTCCCTGTTGGGTAGTGTCAGAGGGTATTCTGGGCTACACAGGTGGCCTTCATGAATAGGGGCGTTATCGGGGGGTTTTAGCGGGTTAAGGGCCTGCTGCGGGGTTTACGATTCAGGGTAAAGGTGACCACTTTTTCGCTGCGGGCTTCGGCAGCGTGGCCGCGGTCCATGGTACTACCGGCTTTGCGGATCCGTGGGTGCTGCTGTCCTTTGCCCCGGGTCGAGAACTGGCCATTTCCGCCGAACTTTTAGGGTTTCGGGAACCCTAAACCCTAAACCCTAAACCCTGAAAGTACGATGAAGTTTGCATCCTTCCGCAATATTTCCATACCGTTGCCACATTTCTCTGCAACCTTTACAGGAACGTTTCCACTGATCTTCCGCAACTTCTCAGCGGATATCCTCTTTCCACCGAATTATCCGCAACTTGTCCGCAGCTGCTTTCTGCAACTTTGCACAGATTTTCTACCACCTTTCCACACATTTTCCGCAACTTCTTCCGGACTACGTCTTGGCTCATCCTGAAATTACCCCAGACGACGACTCTCATCAGGAGGCACACTGGGCTCTTCGTGTTGGGCATCGCCAAACTTCTCCCCTTCCCCCCCCTCCCACTCCTCCCTCTTTGGGCTTGGGGCTGGTGAATAGGGGCCATCAAAAGTACCTCCATACAACTTCCCAAAAGTGCCGGCCAGCTGCCACATGGGCAGGTCCCAGTGTTGGGCACGCAGATCTCTCGGAACGCTCCCGGAAAGCCGTTGGTCAAGTAGTCCTTACTTGCAGCGTGTGGGCTTGACGTCCTACGTACGCTGTTCGGGGTACGCAGCCCTTGAACCTGACCTGAACCCCCCTACATGTGCTTTCAGTTGTGGGGCTGGCATCGAGTTCTTTGGGTTGAAGGGCTTTCGGATGAATCCAAGGATACAACACAACGCTAAACATTCCCTTACAAACCCCTACACCCTAACCCGCCGTCTCGCAAACGGACCTAAAACCCCCAAACCTCTGCCCCAGATCCCCTAAACGCCCTAGATCCCGTAAACGCCCTCTAAAGCCTAAACCCTAAACCCTAAACCCCAACCCGCAAACCTGAACCCTGAACCCTGAACCCTAAACCCCAAACCCCAAACTCCTCCGCAAACCCCTCTTGGGCAAGGGTGCGGTGATGCCACAGACTTGTTCCGTGCTCCGGCACGACACGGGGCAGCTCTCTGCAGTGGGGTAGCACTCCTCGTTCTCAAGCCTCGGGTTTAGGGTTTCGGGTTCAGGGTTTCGGTGTTGGGTTATTTGGGTTTAGGGTTTAAGGGTTAAGGGTTAAGGGAAAAGGGTTAAGGGTTTAGGGTATAGGGTTTAGGGTTTAGGGTTTAGCTTTGGATGGCTGGGTAGGGTTTGTAGGGTCTGAGGGTTGGTTGCGCGTGGGGATAGGGCGCGAGAGGCCTGTCGGAGGGCAGTGGGGTGTGAGGCTTTTCGGCCGGTGGAGGGGGATGATATGGAACAAAATTTGAAAAGAACTAAGGAAAAATCAAACACCCCAAACAACCCAAACGCCTCAAACACCCTAAGCCCTAAACCGGTTTCAAGCAATACGGTTGAAGCCCCAAAGCCAGAGTCGGCAACTGGGCGCCTGGCCCAAACTCGTCCTGAGTCACCGGGGTGCTCTTGGGGTCTTTTGGTTTTGCACGGCAGCTTTCGCTGTTTAGGGTTTAAGGGCTGGGGGTTTAGGGCACAAGCCAGCCCCCCCCCCCCCTCCTCCAAGCCCCCAACTCAAGCGTTCACAAAGAAACGACCCACACATCCGAGTCAAGGATCCGTCCACCGGCACATCTTCGCGTTCGTGCCGCAAGGGCAAGGCCTGTCGGGTTTAGGGTATTGGGCGTCGAAGGTTTTGGGGACTGAGTGAGTTGCTAAGCCTGCTCATCCCACCCCTCGAATACCAGGTCAGGTCACACTCCCATTCTACAGATGTTACACAGGGAAATTAAATATACCCTGCAGACTTCCTGTCTGCCGCTCCAAGCCCCCAAGCCCTAGAAAGCTTTCGTGGAGCTTCATGGGTATATGCTAAGTCAGACTCACGACACCTGCCAACCCTCAAAACCCTGTAAATTCTGCAGCCCTGTCCTCGCCTACCCTGTCAACCCTAAACCCTACAGCCCTCTACCCGCCTGTAGATCCCCAACTCAACCTCCAAAAATCCCTCGTCTGCAATGCAAGGAAAAATTCAATCAAAGACAGACGTTAATCGGCATAAGATGAGCAATGGCCTCAACAGTCGGCAAGTTCTCTTGCATATTGAGAGTAATTACCTAACCCTCCCAGGGTCGGATCCTTTTTTCGCATCTGAAACGCCCGCTGCAGGTCCTGGCGAAGCTTTCCAAGCAGCCGGCTTTTCGCCGCGGTGGTCTGGAGAGGCGAGACAGCAGCGGCCAACCTACTGGCCCACAGCTCGGCCTTCGAGCCTTTGAAATTCAGCCAAGCCTTCACTGCTGCTTGTCGCCACTGACTGCGTGGAGAAACCATTGCGACAATCTTCTTCTGTGAGGAATGGTCCTTCTACCTGAAGCTTCACCCTCTTTGTTGAAGCCTCGAGAACAGGCTTCACCGCTGCTTGGAGGTCGACATGCTCGATGCAAATGGATTCCCGTTCTTGACCAAACGAACAGCGCTGGGTTCGCGATGCCCTTCTCATAGCCTTCTTGCTGCGAAAGCTCTGCGCAAAATTCACTCCCAAGAATTCTACACTGATGCATTTCCAGGAAATGGAGCTCTACTCTGAACTTCTGTACTTCCACGAGTTTTGGATCCCTAAACTGGCCGTGGTGAGGCTGCTGCGAAATTTTGATTTTAAGCTGCTGCAGCTTCCTGATTTTGAGCGTTCATCTGGCCGAAGAAGATCTGCAGCTTCAGGTTTTTGAGCTTTAGCTGGCCGAGAGAAGCGGCTTCAGCTTCAGGCTTTTCAGCTTTCCAGATCGACGTAGCCCCGGGTGGATTTTTAAAGACGGAGGGCTTATTGGAGGAACCCACTCCGCGAACCACCCGTAAGGATGGATTGATTTTCGTTGACTTTAAAAAGAGTTTAGTAAGGGAAACTGTTCGTTTCTGATCCCTAAACATGTTTTCAAAGATCTCGGGAAAATTGAAACAAGGACGACGGACTTAACTGGCCGAGGGGAGGCTGCAGTTCCAGGATTCTGAGCTTGAAGCCAAGGCGCAGAGAAGACGGCAACCCTCTTTGTCTATCCTCTCTCCCTTATCTCTCCCTTCCCTCTTTCTTTTCGAAATAAGAAAAACAAAAAGAAGAACTGTGAGAACTGTGAGAAGGAGAAGGGTCAGGAAAGGAACAGAAGAGATAGGCCGAGAGGAGGAATATTATGAAGCATTATGGAAAGGTCCACGTGCAAGGAGTCACCCTCTGCAAACCCTACCACTGCTTTCTCACACAAGTTCCTTTCTTGTGCTTTATCAGCTAAAAGTAAGCAGAAGGAGAGAAGGGAAAGGGAAGTGAGAGAGGAAAGATAACAAGGATGCCATTTTTGTGGCAGCGTGCTGCAAGGAAAAGAAGAGACAGGAAGCAAGGAGACAGAGCGCCGAAGGGCGGCTGGAGCTTCGAATGCTTCTGAGCTCTCACTGCTGACGCTCCAGGATTTTGATCTCGAAACTGCTGCGTTTCCAGGATTTGGAGATCTAATCGGCTGCAGTTCCAAGAGTTTGCTTTCAGCTGGCCGAGCGGAGCTCTAAACTGCAGCAGTTCGGATTTTGGAGCTCTAAACTGCAGCAGCTCCAGGATTTTGAGCTCTGAACTGCTGCAGCTTCCAGCTGGGCCTAAAACTGTCCAAACCCCCCGCCCCCGAGCCGCCGGGGATCCAAGCAGCTCCTCCCCTTTAAGGGGCGCTTAGGATTCCCCACGGTCGGGCGCGTAGCCCACCAGCGAACGGCTGTGGTCTGTTGAAGGGCTGGAGGCGCCACGATGGGTAGGACGCCGCAAGCAGTCAAACGCGTGTGCTATGACATGATTCAATTATATTATACATCCCCTCCTCACAAGCTCGAAACCTTGAAACAAGAAGACCCAGCCCCCAAAGACCGAACCTTGCCATTGCTCCTTGAAATGTCCTTACAATAGCAATCGGGGTTTTGTTAGGCACGGCTTTAATGTAGGCCTTAAATTTAAGGGGTCCGGGAAGCGCATTGGGTTTAAGGACGCCCACGCTGTCCAAATACGTGTGGCGCTCAGGGCACACCGTGTGGCAGGGCAAGCCTGCCCGTCCCGAAGGACAGCGCCGAGTCCCAGCACCCGGCCAGCGGCACTGATCGTGGGCCTAAAACTGTCCGCCGCCGGGGTTTAAGGGGCACTTAGGATTCCCCACGGTCGGGCGCGTAGCCCACCAGCGAACGGCTGTGGTCTGTTGAAGGGCTGGAGGCGCCACGATGGGTAGGACGCACATCCGCGAAAATAAGGCAAGGCGAACGCTGCAAACAGATCAAACGCGTCGCAAGAAGGTGCCCCGAAGTCGAAGCCTGCTGAACAAGACTTGAAAGGATACCTGGCCCTTATTTTACTGACATATCGCCTGCTCAGTGAACCACCGCGCCCTAAACATTTATCCCTGGAATTCCACGGATTCCTTTCCAACCCAAACGGGCAACCCCAAGCCTGAACCTTGCCGCGATCCCTCGTCGCCAAGTTTCCCTGGAATTCCAAGGATGCTTAGCTGCCAACCCCAAACCGAAACCTGAAAACAACGAGGGCAATGAGTGAATCCTTTAAAGCAATATTTCTGGAATTCCAGGGACGCTTCCGCTCCGAGCCCAATTCCGCAAGCCACGTGAAGGCCTAAACGAATTAGGGCCAATTAGGGTTTAAAGGAGTTTAGGGATCTGGGCTTTTGGGGTTACACAGCCTAAGCAGGCCTCAGGGAATCATGCCTTGCTCTTATTGTTCTTGTTCTTGTTCTTGTTCTTGTTCTTGTTCTTGTTCTTGTTCTTGTTCTTGTTCTTGTTCTTGTTCTTGTTCTTGTTCTTGTTCTTGTTCTTCTTCTTGTTGTTCTTGTTGTTGTTGTTGTTGTTGTTGTTGTTGTTGTTGTTGTTGTTGTTGTTGTTGTTGTTGTTGTTGTTGTTGTTCCTGTTGTTGTTGTTGTTGTTGTTGTTGTTGTTGTTGTTGTTGTTGTTGTTGTTGTTGTTGTTGTTGTTGTTCCTGTTGGTGTTGTTGTTGTTGTTGTTGTTGTCGTTGTTCTTCGTGGCCGACCCATGGAATTCTATGGGCCGGCGCGTCCCTGACAGGCTTCCCGTCTCGCAACATTTGCGCGTTTGCATCCTTCCTGCAACGATAGGCACGTTTTCTACAATCACCTGAGTGCCGTGCGGTTCCCCGTGGTGAAAGGCTGGCCGTCCCAGGACCTTTGAATGGGCATCGTTCATGAAAGCATGTCCATCTTCAGGACAACTGATTTAAGCAATCAGCTGAGTGCCGTGCTGCGCGGGGCCCTCTGGCATCACGGCCTGATGCAAGTGAGAGCTGCTCAGGCTCATTTCAAGCAACAGCAAGCAGAGGCGTGCAAATCGTGCCGGCGCAATTTTTTCGGAACTCAGCAGAACCAGTGTGGTTTGATGCCCGGAAAGGGTTTGAAAAGGTACTTCTTGCCCCGGAGCGCCTTGTACGGCCTCAGGCTTTAGGGTCCGCGTTAATAAATTCAGTCATGAGCCTTACGTCCTGAAATGTTTAGAGACTGCTGAATTAATAGGGGATAGGATTAGGGGGACCCATGGAGATATAGACCCTCTGAATAAGGTCCCTGTTTAAGAGAGCCAGAAGAGGGTTAAGAAGGGGCACCCTTTGAAGGGTCCCCTTATCCTCCCTAGGACTTAAGCCTGGTCTCTCTGCACTGTCACGCTTCTCCTCGATGCTCCTGCAGGCCTGGTCGAAGTCGACACCACGCAGTTCCTGCGCCGCGAACAAGGCGAGCCCCAATGCGCTGCGATGGCGCCCGGCCGCGCCATTTCTCTATATACAAAGGGAAAACATGTTTGTTGTTCCTACTACAGAAGCAAACCCGAACAAAATCAAAATTCAACTATTGGCGACATAAGCTGCAAAAGAACAGCAGCGTTTTGCCTGCCTGGTACGCCGCGCGGCACTGCTGCATCACGCTCGGCGCTTGTTCGAGGAAACCGGGCCTGAAGCCGACGTTCCTGAGCTCATGTCTTGGGATTTCACTAATCTTGCCAGGGTTTCAAGGGGTTGTCTGTTACGACATCGCAGGCTTACAGGGTGTTTAGCTTAGGGTTCAGGGCCTTATCCATTCCAAGCGGAAAAGGTTCCAACAGGGGCAAGCGGCAGCTGGAGCATCTGCGCGCCGCGCAGCCGCGGCTCCGGGAGGTCTGTGATGCTCGGCAGGCACGCAATGAGCACATCGGCTTCAAGCCTCGGCACGTCCTCCCGTGTGCCGAGCCAGACACGGCGGTAGATCTCCTTGGCGGGGACAAGGAAAGGGTTTAGGGTTTAGGGTTAAAGCTTCTTTCTTCTTTGTCAACCAGAAACTAAGCCTAAACCACAACGGGACCTGTGTCTCTGAGTGGCGTCCGCCGGCCTCCGACCGCCGTGCCCAGCGCCAGCCCAACGATCCAGCTCGGCATTGCGGTCCTCCGGTCGTGGGTAATTCTAAGTTCTAAATTGGTCGAGGGGAGGGCGCAGTTTCGAGGACTTTGAGTAGTGTTTGAGCTTTCAACTACCAATTTAGCAAAGGCCAGAGCTTCTCTCTACTAAAACAACTTCTTGGGCCGAGTTTCTTAATTCGGCGGGCGTTTGCTTTTTTAAAGTTCCGGGC